CAGTATTACAACAGTTATTGTAAATACTGTCTCCTGAATCATCATCATCGTCATACAAGAAAAGCTCATGGCTGGGGTCTATATTAGAATCAGGACGACTCCCCTCGGGGTGAGGGGGGGGGGGGTCATTTCTTCTAAATGTAGTGAGATAAAAACTGCTGCTATTATCAGTATTTTCAGTGTCAGTGATACCTGAAACAAGGCAGCTGTCTTTGACGCAACGTCTCTGTTGCAACAGTCGCGGTCGACGTAGATCAGCTGGGGGGGGGGGGGTACCCCGGCGAGACGGTACCGCCTCATCAGTCCGGCCACCATCCTGGACAGACCCTCAGAGCAGGTGAGGACGCTGATGAGGACCTGCCCGTGCTCATTACCAACGTTGGTAACCCAGGCGACCGTGTCGGAAGCGGTACCGGCGAGCTTCCTCGTCACCTGAACAGTGAGAGACGTTTCAAATGTTAATGCATATATCTGTGTGTGTGTTGAGTGTGCGCACACACACACACACACACACACACACACACAGTGAAATAAAAGTGAGAAATGATGCAGTTGTGAGACCCTTTACTCGCCTTCCTTGTGGAATCCATCTTCAGGATGGATCCAAAGGTGGACGTGATCCTGGCCTTGTACTCATCCAGCCGCGTCAGGACATCGTAGCCATAAACCGTCAGCAGCCAGATGGGTGATGGCAGAGGGGGCATCTGGGGCCCCTAACCGAGCACAAGGCCAGGAACTGGATCGCTCTCCGCATCCAGGCGTCCGAGTGTTGCTCCCGCAGGGTGTTGTACAGCCGAGTAGCACTGTTGCCCAGAGTGCGAGACCTCAGCTGTGCGACCCCCCCTCTGGGCACAGGACAGCCTGCAGAAACACGAGGCAGGCATCAGATATTATGTCTAATGTATTTAATGAAACATATGGAAGCCTGTGTTTAATATATTTCCTTACTTGTACGTGAGTCCAGCTGGAAACCGGCAGCTGTAGGTGGGGGGGGGGCAGCTGTGACCACCCTCCGACCTTCTTCTTACACCGACGGCACTCCAGGTACTCGGTGGCCATGAGATACCAGCCGTCGACGTCCAGGACCCTCCGGATGGTCCTGTACAACCCAGCCTTTGTCACGGACCCGGTGCACAACGGCTGGGGGGCACGTCAGCTGCAGACGCCAGATCCTGTGCGGCATCCACAGGAACAGCCGACATGCGAGGGGGGAGGCTGGTTGTAGATCGGCCAGAGGTTCAGGTGGTAACGGCGGTGGTGAGGAGGAGGGAGCTGGTGACTCTGCAGGCTGGACCGTGACGAGGGCCGCCGGAGGTTGCAGAGGGGGGTCTCGCTCCTGCGAGACTACAAGGGCCCGTCTTCTCCCGCGCCTCCTCAAACGCCCGGTGGAACCTGACTGCCTCCACAGAGTCCGGGTCGCTGAGGAGCAGCAGTGAAGGCGTCCTGTAAGTTAAACCTGGCATCAGTCTGTATATAAAAAGGTGTATAGAGTTTATATTTAGCTGTTCTTCTTATTTTTCTATTTGTGACATGTGAACGTGTCGTATGAATGTTGGATGTTCCATTCAAACAGAGGAAAGGAACATCAGCAGAGTGCTGCAGTAATGATTATGAAGAAATAATGAATTAATGGCATCACATGACTGTTAGCAGTTTATTAAAACTTACATTCAGTCTTTGAAAGCAGGGCGAGCTAAAATCTAACAGGACAGCAGCGCCAGATAACGGCGTCCTGCTGAACTCTGACGTCTCCTTATATATTAAAATTAAACAGTAAATATTTTCCAGCTTGTGGCTGATACCAATAAAACCCTAGCAGCTGCCTTCAGCTCTGCTGGACTGGCGGTTGCATATTTCTTCTTCTTCTAATCACACGTCTGGCCAATAAAAGTGATTCTGATGGACTCACAGCAGGCAGCATAATGTGGAACGACGAATCGCACACCGACTGCAGGTGGAACGTTATTAGCTAACAGCACTGAGGGTTAAAGTTAAACAGCGAGGACTTTAGCTGCCTGAAGTTACACGTATGAAATAAATAATAAAGGTCGCACAGCTGATGTAACGTTAACCAGCGTTACTTTATTAGCGGTCACATTAGCCTGCGTTAAATAAACACTTTCAACAGCATGAACGTTAGCTGGCTTACACAAAGCGCTGAAAAATAGTTTATATAATAAACTCCGTGCAGTAAAATTAAAGTTTGACGTTTTAAGAACTTTATAAAGCTCCGGTTGGAACGTTAGCTGCAACATCGATCAGTCAGCGGTGTCACAAAGCGCCGCAAAACCACCTCAGTTAGCTCGGCGGGACTGATGTCAGACAACACTTACAATAATTCCTGCAAGTTTTACGTACTACTGTCGTGGTCCGTGTACGTTCTGAACCACAAAACGAACAAACCCGTTTCTTAGTTTTTGGTTTCTGAATCCAAAAACAAAAAACGACTAAACCAAATTCAAATAACGTTCTGAATTTGTTTTTTTTTGAAATCCCTATTTTCATTTCTCCATTTGAAGATAGATGTTGAGAAAATAAAGACAGGTGAGCCAGAAGTAAGAGTACAGACATTAAAATAAAAGCCAAGCTTTTAGAACGTCTGGATCTGTAACTTTAAATAAACCTGGACTGAGAGAAATACGTTAGCAACAGTATGATTACATGCACTATAATATTGTGCATTTATTCATGTAAACAGCAAGAGTCTCGTGTTTTTAAGCGCATTGTTTGGTGCGGTACAGTTGGTAGGCTAATACAGGTTAACCTAAGAAATGATTGTGTGCAGAGTTGTTACTGTCAGCGCTATATTTTTAATATTAAATACATATTTAATGTGGTTTCCAGCGTAATGAACCAAGCTGTTTGTCCTTTCTACCAGCAGGTGGCAGGATTTAAATGAAGACCTGGTCTGTGTCTTTATTAAACGTTTTGAATCCAGATTACCGATACAGATGTATTTATTGTTGTTCATTTCATTTGGTTTGTGATATTTATGTTTTATTTGCAGCCTATTATCATGTTCATCATTCACCCTCAGCCCAGAGTTAAAGCTGCACGCCCTTCTGTTCTAACCTGGTTCTAACTCTGCTGGGTTCAGGTACACACCTGCAGGAGAGACAGACACACCCACAGCAACACAGATACACAGACCTCACGGGTCGGAACAGCCATGTTGGATAAATGTTGTATGGAAAGACTTGTATGGATTCTCTTCTTGCTTGACTCAATGTGAGTGTTGGATGTTACACACTGGAATGTGTCTGGAGAAGAAAGATTCACGCAGTATTTAGCACACAGGTAAATCCTTCTTTTGGCCAGATGGTGACATGAGGACATTTCTGAGGTGAGTTTGTTGTCAGAGCTGCTAGAAGCTGACAGCAGAGTTAGAACCAGGTTAGAACAGAAGGGCGTGCAGCTTTAACTCTGGGCTGAGGGTGAATGATGAACATGATAATAGGCTGCAAATAAAACATAAATATCACAAACCAAATGAAACGATGCAGCAGGAGGCGGGACAACTGAGAATTCAGAACAAATCCACGTCTCCCATTGGATGAGCGAAAGTTTGATGCTATGAATTCGGAACGATTGGAACAAATGTAAATGCTCCGTATCTGTACAGCACCTTTCTAGTCTGTTCGACCACTCAAAGCGCTTTTACGCTACCTCGCATTCACCATTCACTCACATTCACACACTGGCGGAACAGCCGCCAGGGGCAGTTCGGGGTTCAGTATCAAGGACACTTCGACACGCAGACTGGAGGAGCCGGGATTGAACCGACGACCTTCCGCAACCCTCTTTGCTTCAGTTTGACACTTTGAACCCCTCCTTATTGGAGCGGGGGCCAGGAACCACCGCTCAGTGTCTCTGTCGGGGCCTCGTCGTCTATGATTGGCTTGTTCCTACCCGTTGACACTTGCGGTCGTCAGGTGACAAATCGTGGCTGCACATTTTGGGGAACAGTTGGGGCAAACGGGGCTGATGTGCAGTGTTGGGGTAGTGACTCAAAAGTTCAAATATTACCCATTACTAGTTACTTTTTTTTACGTTTTCTTAGATAAACTATGACAGTAAACTGGTACATTTATTAGACAAAAGTCCAATTCATGAAAAAAAAATCTTCGACATTCTCTGAGTTCAAACACAAATTTACAAGAGACTGACTGAATTTATGAGATGAAACTTTTAAAGACATTTAAAGTTAACTTGGTAAAATCATGAGTTAAAACATCAATTTAGGAGAAGACTTGAAGTGGTAAATGTAAAAGAATTAACACATTTAGAAGAAACAATGTTAGGAATGAACGAGCTCTGAGATGAAAGAGAAATTTACTCTTTAAAGTTTGTTTTTTCTCGCGCTCGTGGCTCCCTAATATATATATATTTTAATCTACAATGGCCCAAAAACTCCTCCTTCAAATCACGTTATTAAAAGTCTCTGCACACATTTGTAAATATAATCTCTCCAGCGTTGGATCTGTCTCTTTCTACGCGTCACAGATGTTTCGGTGGCGAGCACGCTGACCCAGCGTCTTCACCATCATGACCGGGAGATCAAATCAATCTCTGATCCTCTGCCGTCACTTCCTCCGGCCTGTCCGAGTTTCTGTCTTCTGAATCTCTTCAGGGCAAAACGAGACGTCACAACAGTAAGAGATTCTCTGCAATTCTCCTCTGACCACACCCAGCTGTGATGTCACAGCGACCTGCAGTACACCTGTACGTCGCTGCAGCAAGGTGAACTCTGGAGGTCAGCGGGAGGTTCAGGATTGGAGGAGGGGGTCTTGTGGGAGTGTGTTCTGTTTTTAGCCTGGCTCGGGTCTCGCCAGCTCCGGTTTAGCACGCAGAATGTGAGCAGATGATATTCTATATGAACGGCGTGTTGCGGTGGAGAGAGACTAAATGCAGCCTGAAACAGATCTGAGGAAGACGTTCATGTTTCGCCGCCACAGCCTCAGAGACCAGTTGTTCTTGTGGGATTAAAAAGTGAACGGTCCAATTCTGAGCAGCAGAGGTGGAGCTGACCTACATCCCAAGATGCACCTGGATAGTGTCTTCATTAGAGCCTCCCTGCAGGTAAAACACCTGATGGCGTGTTCGTGTGGCGACGGACCGTCAGATCTGAAAGCTGTATTAAATTCCAGATTTAGCGTGACGACCCCCAACTGCTGTGTTTTGAAAGTGAAGAACGTTCGATCAGATTAGACGTCACGTTTGTTTTTAAGCCGCTTCCTCTGAAGGTTCCCATGGCAGCAGACACACGAGCTGCACGCTGTTTACGTGCTACGATGCTAATGTCGCTACATCTCAGAGACTCAAACTGTGTTTTCTGCACGCTGGGGTCTGACCCGAGGTCAGTCTGTGATCCCACGCTTCTGTTCGTCGGTCAGCTTCTGGGCCGTCTTTCAGGTCAAAGTTCAAAGAGTCGTGTCCACCCAGAACAGCAGCAAGATGATGATCTGGTTTCACATTCAAAGAGTCCATCTTGAGTTTGAGCACCCGGCATCAGTCCGCTACTCTGTTTCTGTCAGAGGGAACACGAGTTTGACGTTGGACGGAAATGCTGGAACCGTCCAACGCGTTCAGACTCGCTCATGCCTGTAGAGCCAGCAGCCGGTTAGCCTAGCTTAGCATAAAGACTGGAAACAGGGGGAAACAGCTAGCCAGGCTCTGTCCAAAGAAATAGTCCAACACGTCATTTTGTTCAAGCGGCGGCACTTTGTTAATGTGAAAAACAACAGAATGAAGAAGTCTGACGGGACCTGAACGCAGCACGGCGAGCAGACTGACCTGTGACAGGTGGAGCTGCTTACACTCTGTGTGTGTGTGTGTGTGTGTGTGTGTGTGTGTGTGTTCAGTGTTTTTCCAGCCTCCCTCTCTGAACAGCTGACGGCAGAAGAAGAAGGCCAGCTGATCTATTTATAGCAGAGTCCCTCAGAGTCTCAGACCTGCTCTGTCACAGTCCTGCAGCGCTGCACGCCGTTTCGCCAGCAGCACCTCCAACACGCCGTCATGCCCGGCAGCCAGGCCCGGTGCCGGGCCAGAGACCGGAACAACGTCCTGAACCGGCCTGAGTTTCTGTCCCTGAACCAGCCCCCCCGCAGGGAGCAGGCGGCGGGGGAGGGGCGGGGGGGTGGCGGTCCAAGGAGGGCCTCCTTAAGACAGCAGAGTCAGCAGGAGGACGCAGGACTGAGGTAAGACTCCGCCCACTGACATGATAACATGATAACGGACCCTGATCCTGATCCAGGACCCCTCAGTTTTAAAGGTTCAGACTGTAAACTTCAGTAAACTTCCAGCAGCTGTTGGTCTCAGTTAATCTCAGGACTATAAAAACCAGAAACCTGATCTTTATCTTCAGTTTCTTTCCGCTCGGTGATGAACTCCAGAACTGAATCAGTTCTTGACCCTTTATGACGCGGTCTCTGGTCCTGGTCCAGAAGAGAAACTCAGTGATTCTGAGAGGCTTCAGTGTGCAAGTGTAAGGGGATCATCAGCAGCTCTGCAGCGAGGCCATGTCCCTCACAAAACGCCCCTCAAGTGCACACTGGGCCAGTAAAGACCCGCCGTGATCCCCCCGCCCCGCCGCCAATCAGTCAAAACATCGTCTGACCTGCCGCCGCTCGTTTTACAAAAACAGCGCGAGAGACGCTTGGGCAGGTGGAGCGGTGAGACAGAAGATGAGGAAGGTTTGTGTCTGGAGCCCCGTCAGCTGCCTTCTGTTGAAACGCTCAGCTTTTCAAGTCGATGAGCTCATCAGCGACCAGCCAATCACAGCCTGAACGGGGCGGGACAGTAAAGAAAAGTTATCACTTCGCATTAATGAGGTCCACCTGCAGACGCTCCGGCCTCAGGACAGCAAATAAATAAAAGCATGCGATTTGACAGGAAACAAGTTTAATCATGTGCAGCATGTGCAGCATTGACTAAATAATTAAATACAAATCAACAACAAACTTCTCCCGAGTTTGTTGTTGATTTGTATTTAATTATTTAGTCAACATTGTAACGTGTATTCTGTCAGAACAGGACGTTGATCCGTCCACACAGCAGCCACATCCACTCACAGGAAATCGCATCGTCGTTGATTAAGAGTGGAACTTTGCCTCTTCCACTCTTCTCGTTCGTAACTTCCCTTTGAAGAGTAATATGTCCTCTGGCGTTTTACTGCCAGCTATCTATCAGCTGAGTTAAACTGCAGTTTAATCACGACGTGAGTTTAATGCCGCTGTTTGCAAAGTGGAGGGAGAGAGAAAACAGCGAGGGACAAAAAGTGTCCAAAGTCTGGGATCATTTCAAGTTAAAGGAAACAACAACTCTGTAATGTTGCCGTCCGTCCACCGTAAAACCAAACTGATGAGGTAACAGTAACGTTAGCATTTAACTGAAATCATGATTGTTGAGTTGAAGCCAAAGTAAGCCGCAGTCCTCAGCTGAAAATGTGACCACGTGCGTTTGTTGTTCCTTTTTGGGCCGCGAGCTGTGACCTCACAGTCAGGAGGTCACTGGGTGTCTCTGTAGCTCAGACCATCCTGCTAACTGCGTGAGCTGATCCGTCCTTTCACCCAGTCTCTATAACGGTTATCTTTATAATAACAAACAGCTGTTTCCTGTGCAGGATCATTTCCCGCTTCACATTGCACGTGTGTTTTCCGCCGCCAAGCAAAAGTACTTCTTAAACGACTCATCGATGAATCGTTGAAATAATCTATAGAAGCTTTGAATACTAAAATCACCGTTAGCAGCAGTCCTCCTGTGGACACTCTATACACAGTTAGAAAAGGAGCTGGCAGCAGTGACTGATTTGCATTAATGCAAAACATTCCTGACGGCCGACCTGAGAGAGGAGGCTGCACCGGCAGCGACTCCACAGTGGAGGTCTTCAGTTAAACTCCTCTCTCTCTCCTTTAATGAGTTGTAAACCTTTTTTGTGCCCAAAGTGTGTTCCCGTCTCCAGCAGAAAACTCTGCTCTGAACACAGCTGGATTTTTTTTGTCACGACTCTGCTTCTGATTGGCTAGTAGTCCTTAACTAGGAACTGAGCATGTGCAACTCCCAACAAAGATCATTTAGAGACAAGATGTATCACTCCATAGCTAAAACGAAGCCTTCAACACAGGCTGAAAAGAGGAGCTGCAGCAATGTGCAGCATGACAAACATATAACCATGGAAACCTGCTCTGGTACAAACTCTAAATAAGATGAGGAACCTGAAAATGAGCAGAATATGACTTATTAACTAATTAGAGAGTAACTGAACCACCACGTAGAGCACTTTTCTTGCATTGCATGAAAACCCACAACAATAAACTGCTGTAACTGGAATTAATGTTATGCTAGTATATATAATCAAAAAAGTATCATTCTATAATTAATATATATTAACAGTAAACGAACATTAAATGGACATTATAATTATATATCTAATGTTAGAATTATAGAAATTCCCCTCCAGGTTGTGATTAGAGGCTCTGCAGTGGACAGATGTAGGCAGAGCCAGGATGGAGATCAGCTGGTTACAGGATGACCTGTTTATATCGCAGCTCTAAACTTGTTACCGGGCCAACACAGTTTTACCTTCAAACTTTGAACACAACAACAAAACAGAACACAGAACTTGCAGACCTGAAACACAGATTAATACCTGTACAAAAAACCAGTACATGAGTCAGTCTGCAGCCCGTCACCTCCTGACCCGTCTCTGTCCTGTCCTGGTCTCTGTCCTCAGGGGGTCGAGGGACTCCTCAGAGGGGGGCTCAGCAGCCGATGGGGGGGTGAAGGAGGACTGTATGCAGCTGAATCCTTCGTTTCGAGGCATCGCCATCAACTCTCTGCTGGCCATCGACATCAGCCTGTCCAAGCGTCTGGGCGTGTGCGTGGGGACCCGCGGCTCCGGGGCCCCGCTGCGCTCTATGGTGACCCTGCTGGCCCTCACAGGACACGCCCTCCCCTGGCTCTTTGGGACTCTGATCTGCCTGTGGAGGAGCAACACGCTGGCTGGACAGGAAGTCCTCGTAAACCTGCTGCTGGGTGAGAATGACGACAGGACAGCACGCGGTCTCTGATGGCTTCATGTCAGCAGGTCACATGATGGTGTTAGCACGTTAGCACCACATTAGTCCAACATGTCCCCGTCTGTCTCCTGCAGCTCTGATCCTGGACCTGATGACGGTCGCCGGGATGCAGAAGTTGGTCAAACGCCGCGGACCGTGGGATTTCCCTCCTGGGATTTTGGACTACGTTGCCATGGATACATATTCTTTCCCAGCAGCCCACGCCAGCCGAGCCGTCATGGTCTCCAAGTTCCTACTGAACCACCTGGTGCTGGCGGTTAGTATCATTTATACTGTGTTGGACAGAACGCTGCCTTTACCTGTGAGTACGCCGCCGGTCTGAGGTTGGCGTGTCAGGATGTGATTACTGGGGAGTAGCCTGAGAAAGTGATATGGTTACTAGAAAGTGATCTAGTTACTAGAAAGTTAAAAGGGGTCTGGTTACTAGAAAGTGATCTGGTTACTAGAAAGTGAAAAGTGATCTGGTTACTAGAAAGTGAAAAGTGATCTGGTTACTAGAAAGTGATCTGGTTACTAGAAAGTGAAAAGTGATCTAGTTACTAGAAAGTGATCTAGTTACTAGAAAGTGATCTGGTTACTAGAAAGTGAAAAGTGATCTGGTTACTAGAAAGTGAAAAGTGATCTGGTTACTAGAAAGTGAAAAGTGATCTGGTTACTAGAAAGTGATCTGGTTACTAGAAAGTGATCTGGTTACTAGAAAGTGATCTGGTTACTAGAAAGTGATCTAGCTACTAGAAAGTGATCTAGCTACTAGAAAGTGATCTAGTTACTAGAAAGAGATCTAGTTACTAGAAAGAGATCTAGTTACTAGAAAGAGATCTAGTTACTAGAAAGAGATCTGGTTACTAGAAAGTGAAAAGTGATCTGGTTACTAGAAAGTGATCTAGCTACTAGAAAGTGATCTAGTTACTAGAAAGTGATCTAGTTACTAGAAAGAGATCTAGTTACTAGAAAGAGATCTGGTTACTAGAAAGTGAAAAGTGATCTGGTTACTAGAAAGTGATCTGGTTACTAGAAAGTGATCTGGTTACTAGAAAGTGATCTGGTTACTAGAAAGTGATCTGGTTACTAGAAAGTGAAAAGTGATGTGGTTACTAGAAAGTGAAAAGTGATCTGGTTACTAGAAAGAGATCTGGTTACTAGAAAGAGATCTGGTTACTAGAAAGTGATCTGGTTACTAGAAAGAGATCTGGTTACTAGAAAGTGATGTGGTTACTAGAAAGTGATGTGGTTACTAGAAAGTGAAAAGTGATCTGGTTACTAGAAAGTGATGTGGTTACTAGAAAGTGAAAAGTGATCTGGTTACTAGAAAGTGATCTGATTACTAGAAAGTGAAAAGGGGTCTGGTTACTAGAAAGTGAAAAGTGATCTGGTTACTAGAAAGTGATCTAGTTACTAGAAAGTGAAAAGTGATCTGGTTACTAGAAAGTGAAGTGTGATCTGGTTACTAGAAAGTGATCTGATTACTAGAAAGTGAAAAGGGGTCTGATTACTAGAAAGTGAAAAGGGATCTGGTTACTAGAAAGTAAAACGTGATCTAATTACTAGAAAGTAAAACGTGATCTGATTACTAGAAAGTAAAACGTGATCTGATTACTAGAAAGTAAAACGTGATCTAATTACTAGAAAGTAAAACGTGATCTGATTACTAGAAAGTAAAACGTGATCTGATTACTAGAAAGTAAAAAGTGATCTAATTACTAGAAAGTAAAAAGTGATCTGATTACTAGAAAGTAAAAAGTGATCTGGTTACTAGAAAGTGATCTGATTACTAGAAAGTGAAAAGGGATCTGATTACTAGAAAGTAAAAAGTGATCTAATTACTAGAAAGTAAAAAGTGATCTGATTACTAGAAAGTAAAACGTGATCTGATTACTAGAAAGTAAAAAGTGATCTAATTACTAGAAAGTAAAAAGTGATCTGATTACTAGAAAGTAAAACGTGATCTGATTACTAGAAAATAAAATGTGATCTGATTACTAGAAAGTAAAATGTGATCTAATTACAAGAAAGTAAAAAGTGATCTGATTACTAGAAAGTGAAAAGTGATCTGGTTACTAGAAAGTGAAAAGGGGTCTGATTACTAGAAAGTGAAAAGTGATCTGGTTACTAGAAAGTGATCTGATTTCTAGAAAGTGAAAAGGGATCTGGTTACTAGACTGTTAACCGGTCTGCAGATCAGGAGCCTGGTGGTAATAAAGTCTGCCTGTCCTCCAGGTGCCCCTGAGGATCCTGCTCTACCTGTGGGCCTTCCTGGCGGGCGTGTCCCGGGTGCTGCTGGGTAAACATCACGTGTCAGACGTCAGCTGTGGATTTGCTCTCGGCTTCCTGCACTTCAATCTGGTGGAGTCCGTCTGGCTGGACTCAGCCACCTGCCAGACCCTGATCTCCATCGGCACGCTGCGCTGGACTCCTCTGGTTTAAGACCGGTCTGAACTGGTTCAGCTGGTGTAAAACCAGCCTGTCCGGACTCTGTCCACCGGCTGCTCACCTGTAATGGCACACACTGGACTTGTTTTTAAAAACTGGTTTGATGTAAAACTGCAGATCTATTTTGACAAAATAAACTGTTCTAGTCCAGTTTGGACCGATTTCATACGGCTCTGGTCCAGTTTGGACTGGTCCTGCTGTCTCTGTTACCGCTCAACTTTATTGGTGTTACTGGTCACTTCAGCCTGCTCCAGTCAGTCAGAGTGTTAGCATTAGCCGCTAACAGTTTCACGCTGCGTCCATGTTTACGGGCGGCTGAGTGGACGATGTAGAAACCTGCTGAGGGAGTCCGAACAGCTGTGTTCAGGGCTGATGCTAACGGTCGTCCATTGAAGAATAAAGTCCTCAGTGTCAGTCACTGACAGAGAACGCTGACGTCGTAGAGTAGTCTGTTCCTCCAGGACCTTTTTTGTGATGTTGCAGCAGCTTTTCTAAAATATTGCGATGAAAGTTTCGATGTTTTGGGGCGTTTGGCTGTGATGAAATTGTGGTAATAAGTGAAAACTGTTCTGCAGAAAAGGTTCTTTGGTGAAAAAGATCTGGATCTCGGTCCGCTGTTGGTATCACGTGTCTCAATTCTTTGCAGGAAACTGTGATGATAACTCAAGTTTGCAGGAACGTTGCTGTGATTGATCCAGACTGCGCTGAATTCACAGGAATTTGCTGAATTAGTGATAGTTGCGATCAGCGCCGTCATTTGACGTAGTTGGAGAACGTCAGACTGCTTCAGTTTGGATTTCTAGCTTCCCCCTCCGGCGCTCTAGATGTCGCTCAACTCGCAGAATAGGAAGGTTAAAATCAAGTTAAAGCCAGACTTTGTTTTAACCTTCCTTTGACCTGAATGACTGAGAACCTTCACAGACATCTGGCTACGTTTCCGACAGTGGAAATGGCGTCCTAAAATATGGACGTCATGAATACATTTTAAATTAGTTTCGGATATTCAGCAAAGTCAGAAGTGCCTTTGCTCAAACTGCTGAGAAGAGAGAGCAGACGACCTCTGAGGGAGGAGTTTTGTCACCTAACGCTATGATTTGACCATTAGCCGTGACATGAAAGGCTAGCAGGCGGAGCTAATGTTGTAATACTGAGGGGCGGGCAGGAGGAACTGCGTGAACGTTAAGCCTCATTTGAAGCAAACTGAAACTTTATGCAGCAGTGCTAACTCAGCTAGCGTTAGCGTTGTTGTGATACAGAAGCCTGAACTTCCTGCTGTTTGCCAAGATGGCGATGGCCGGCTCCGCCCACCTAGAGCTTTAAGGCAGCTGTTCAGAAACCTACAGGTGACGTCGCAGACGTCCAGGTTGTTATACAGTCTGATCGTACCTGAGAGAAATGGTCGAACGCAGGAATTAATTTGCTTGGTGAGTAACTTTGATTTGCAGCTAGTTAGTGTAGCGCTCGTGTGCAATGCATCCTGGGACATGTAGGCACTGCTCTCTGTCAATATAGTGCGCATTGAGGAATTTATTGCTTTAATGGACTACATGTACATCAGCCCGTGTGTGCGGTTTGTGTCTCAGGGGTTTTTAGGTTCCTCACTGAGCACTTTGCTCTCAGACTAACTGTAAATTAAAGAAAAACTATGAGATGTTTGACATTTTTTCATCAGCGAATAAAAACTAACGATGTGAGAACAGACGAGCGGAGTCCGGTTTGTGTTAATGAGTCTGATCCAGATCAAGTTCTTGTGTTTACTGCAATGAAAAAGGATTTAGGAGATGTACAGGTGTTAAACTCAGGTGTCGTAGTGACGACGTGAAATATTTAGGAAATTCAAACGTTTCCGCCAACACTCACAGCAGGGAGGAGGCTGCTGATGGAGACCACAGAAGAAGAAACAGGGAAGTTTTAACTTTGCATTGTTTTGGTTTAATCAAATAAAAACTACTTTTATCCGTCTGAACGGTCTCACGTCTGATTTTAGTCTCATGGCTTTGTGGTTAGCAGTTAGCACGTGGCCAACATCGCGGCTACGCTTCCGTCAACGAGTGAGCGTCACGTTAACGGTCGCCCTCTTCAGAGGACTTCAAACCCATCAGGACGCCATCAATAAACTACCCCGAATCCTCTGAAACGATTCAGTTCACACAAAGTGCAGCAGGAAGCGTGGCTGAAAACAAGCAGCTCAGTAAACGTTCAGGACTTTTAAATGTTTGTTGAACCGACTGATCATCTTTGAAGACCCGTTTAGACACGGACACGCAGCTCATAGTCAAAAATCTTTATTTACAAATAACTGGGGGGGAAATGCACCCGAACATCAGTGATCTTTTTTCAGTTTCTGGGAACAGTTTGAGAGAAGCGACGATGAAGAGTTGTTCTGAACAGGAGTCCGTGAACGCAGCACAGCCACGCACACAGTCAGCCGACAGCGGGCGTGTCCCAGGTCACTGTTCAACCCACACAGGATTAAAAAGGTTCACATTAAGTCCACGTCTGGTTCTGCTCGGTCCAGTTTCCTGAAAAGTCCTGCATGATGTCTGGAGGGAAACAAACTCTGATGATGTCATAGTGACATCATGTCACTGTAGACGGGTTAATGCTCCAAGCAGGGCCGCAGATAACTATTCTCATTATTGATCTATCGATTTGCCTTTCGGTCCAGAACATGGTGAAAAGACGCCCGAGACAACGTCCTCAAATGTCTCGTTTTGTCCACAACCCAAAGATAAACACTTTACTGTCACAGAGGGGAGAGAGAGAGAAACCAGGAAATATTCACATTTAATTTTTACTTTAAAGAAAGTCTCAGTGATGAATCCAGTATCAACATAGCTGGAGATTAATTGAATAGTTAACCAACCAACTAATCGTTGCAGCTCGAGGTCCAAGTTATGTTTACTTGTTTCTTTAAACATTTTTATGTTGGGTATATTTCTTTAAACACCTGAACGGCTTTTCAGATTTCATGGACTCTGGAAGATCTGATTCTTTAGGCTTTCACTTATATATTAAACTTACTGTGAAATTTGTTATTGTATGAATAAGCAGGGCACCAATAATATTCTTAAAGTATTTATTACTTTAGTTTAAAAACAAATAAATCTGACCTTTAAAAAAAACAACAAACTCAAAAGTTTCTGTAGTTTTTTTAAAATACAAGTATTTTAGAGAAGGAAACCAATTTTGTCCCCTGAACTACAAGAAGTCTTAATATCAAAGAGAGGAAGTGGTGAGTTTGAATCAACAGGAAATGAAACATAAAGGAGGAAATTAAAATAAAGGCCTCTTCCTGTCTGAGATCTTCAGATCTGAGTTATTAAACTGTGAAGTCCTTTAAACGCTCTTTCATCACGAGACGACTCCAACAGAACCTCACTCAAAAATCGAGGGATTTTAGTCCGCATTCATTTTGGTTTTTGGTCTGAACGCCGTGGGACCTGGTCTGACTGTGTGTTCACATCAGAAGACTGAGGGGGAACTGGTTCTGTGTTAATCTGGATCATCGGTGATGATCTGTGAGCAGTTCAACAGTCGCTCCTCCACAGCTCGATGGTTTTGTCGTTCTCCAGAGCGGCTGAGGCGACGATGTTCTCTGTTGGATGGCAGGCGGTGGAGATCACCACGTCTGCACGGAGACACAAAGACACTCGAGTTAGAGACCACACCCGCTGCGTCTTCTACTTCCTGTTATCAGCACGTACTCTGGACGTCCTGCAGTGAGCTCTCTTCTGAGACCACATAAAGGTTAGGACAGACGATGGGGGACGAGGACACAGAAAACAAAGAAACACCACTGAACACTAAGACAGGAAATAGCAGAGACTAGGAGACAAAGTCAGAGACTAAGAGACAAAGTAAACAACTAAGAGACAAAGTCAGAGACTAGGAGACAAAGTAAACAACTAAGAGACAAAGTCAGAGACTAGGAGACAAAGTCAGAGACTAGGAGACAAAGTCAGAGACTAGGAGACAAAGTAAACAACTAAGAGACAAAGTCAGAGACTAGGAGACAAAGTCAGAGACTAGGAGACAAAGTCAGAGACTAGGAGACAAAGTAAACAACTAAGAGACAAAGTCAGAGACTAGGAGACAAAGTAAACAACCAAGAGACAAAGAGACAAAGTAAACAACTAAGAGACAAAGTCAGAGACTAGGAGAAAGTAAACAACTAAGAGACAAAGTCAGAGACTAGGAGACAAAGTCAACAACTAAGAGACAAAGTCAGAGACTAGGAGACAAAGTAAACAACTAAGAGACAAAGTAAACAACTAAGAGACAAAGTAAACAACTAGGAGACAAAGTCAGAGACTAGGAGACAAAGTCAGAGACTAGGAGACAAAGTCAGAGACTAGGAGACAAAGTCAGAGACTAGGAGACAAAGTCAGAGACTAGGAGACAAAGTAAACAACCAAGAGACAGTCAGAGACTAGGAGACAAAGTAAACAATTAGGAGACAAAGTCAGAGACTAAGAGACAAAGTCAGAGACTAAGAGAAAGTAAACAACTAAGAGACAAAGTCAGAGACTAAGAGAAAGTAAACAACTAAGAGACAAAGTCAGAGACTAGGAGACAAAGTCAGAGACTAGGAGACAAAGTAAACAACTAAGAGACAAAGTCAGAGACTAGGAGACAAAGTCAGAGACTAGGAGACAAAGTAAACAACTAAGAGACAAAGTCAGAGACTAGGAGACAAAGTCAGAGACTAAGAGACAAAGTCAGAGACTAAGAGACAAAGTCAGAGACTAAGAGACAAAGTCAGAGACTAGGAGACAAAGTCAGAGACTAGGAGACAAAGTCAGAGACTAGGAGACAAAGTCAACAACTAAGAGACAAAGTCAGAGACTAGGAGACAAAGTAAACAACTAAGAGACAAAGTCAGAGACTAAGAGACAAAGTAAACAACTAAGAGACAAAGTCAGAGACTAGGAGACAAAGTCAGAGACTAGGAGACAAAGTCAGAGACTAGGAGACAAAGTAAACAACTAAGAGACAGTCAGAGACTAGGAGACAAAGTAAACAATTAGGAGACAAAGTCAGAGACTAAGAGACAAAGTCAGAGACTAAGAGAAAGTAAACAACTAAGAGACAAAGTCAGAGACTAGGAGACAAAGTCAACAACTAAGAGACAAAGTCAGAGACTAGGAGACAAAGTCAGAGACTAGGAGACAAAGTAAACAACCAAGAGACAAAGTAAACAACTAAGAGACAAAGTAAACAACTAAGAGACAAAGTAAACAACTAAGAGACAAAGTAAACAACTAAGAGACAAAGTAAACAACTAAGAGACAAAGTCAGAGACTAAGAGAAAGTAAACAACTAAGAGACAAAGTCAGAGACTAAGAGAAAGTCAACAACTAAGAGACAAAGTCAGAGACTAGGAGACAAAGTAAACAACTAAGAGACAAAGTAAACAACTAAGAGACAAAGTAAACAACTAAGAGACAAAGTAAACAACTAAGAGACAAAGTCAGAGACTAGGAGACAAAGTCAGAGACTAGGAGACAAAGTCAGAGACTAGGAGACAAAGTAAACAACCAAGAGACAAAGTAAACAACTAAGAGACAAAGTAAACAACTAAGAGACAAAGTCAGAGACTAAGAGAAAGTAAACAACTAAGAGACAAAGTCAGAGACTAGGAGACAAAGTAAACAACTAAGAGACAAAGTAAACAACTAAGAGACAAAGTCAGAGACTAGGAGACAAAGTCAGAGACTAAGAGAAAGTAAACAACTAAGAGACAAAGTCAGAGACTAGGAGACAAAGTCAACAACTAAGAGACAAAGTCAGAGACTAGGAGACAAAGTAAACAACTAAGAGACAAAGTAAACAACTAAGAGACAAAGTAAACAACTAGGAGACAAAGTCAGAGACTAGGAGACAAAGTAAACAACTAAGAGACAGTCAGAGACTAAGAGACAAAGTAAACAACTAAGAGACAAAGTCAGAGACTAAGAGAAAGTAAACAACTAAGAGACAAAGTCAGAGACTAGGAGACAAAGTAAACAACTGAGAGACAGTCAGAGACTAGGAGACAAAGTAAACAACTAGGAGACAAAGTCAGAGACTAGGAGACAAAGTCAGAGACTACGAGACAAAGTCAGAGACTACGAGACAAAGTCAACAACTACGAGACAAAGTCAACAACTACGAGACAAAGTCAACAACTACGAGACAAAGTCAACAACCAAGAGACAAAGTCAACAACTACGAGACAAAGTCAACAACCAAGAGACAAAGTAAACAACTAGGAGACTCTGGGTGCTTCTCAAGTCTCTAAATTGCATCCACGTTTTCCCTGAATTGCGTCTTCCCACCAACCAAGTCAGGAGAGAAGGGAGGAGGAAATGTGTTTTTAGAGACATGAGACGTCCTTTCCTCCGAAGCGTCACATGAAGCGACGTCCGTTTCTGATGACGGCGGCAGCTGATCACAGCTGGAGAGACTTGAGGGCGTTTGTGTCTGCATCCATGTGCACTGTGTCGGTGCTAACAACAGTTCTCAGTGCAGAGCAGCAGGATTGTCTGAGAATAATAGGTTGCTGTACGTCCTGCTCAGAGGATCACTTCTACTGGCACGAAGCTGATATTATCTGCCTTTACTTCTATTGACTCTGGTTGTGAATTCGTTATTGAATAACCCAGAATATGATCCTGGTGTCTCGGGATTTCTGAGGCTAAATGTTTAAGGGAAACCGATGCAACTCCTAGCAAAGTCGGCGCTCAGTTTTTGGCTTTCAGTTTATTTCCTCTTCTGATATCCTCCAACACTACTGCATACATTTTTATATTTTATATCAAACAACAGTTTTTTTTAGCGCAGCAGCTTTCATTCACTCTTTCATCAGCTGATTTTACTGGCGGAGCCGCCGGCTGCTTTCATCAGAGGCTTTGCTCGCTTCATAGAGACTTGTGCAGGTTAGAGTGCGACTCCTTACTTTGTTTTATTGATGTCTGTTTGGAATAAACAAGAATGAGCTGCCTCACATGTGAAACAACTCAAACTAACTCTTTCCAGAGGTAAACTTGAGTTTAATGTTTCTGTCCTGATGCATCAAGATCACTCTGATCAGCTGCAGCGTCCAATCAATAAAACAGCTACCCAGTAAGGGGGCGTGTCGTCAGTAAAAGACTTCTATCCTTGTATCCTCGCTCATAGCTCCTCAGAGATCGCTCCTCGCTCCTCGGGCCGCGAATAAGAGACTTGAGAAGTACCCAAAGCCAGGGACTAGGAGACAAAGCCAAGGACTAGGAGACAAAGCCAGGGACTAGGAGACAAAGCCAGGGACTAGGAGACAAAATAAAACTAGGAGACAAAGCCAGGGACTAGGAGACAAAGCCAGGGACTAGGAGACAAAATAAAACTAGGAGACAAAGGCAGGGACTAGGAGACAAAATAAAACTAGGAGACAAAGGCAGGGACTAGGAGACAAAATAAAACTAGGAGACAAAGGCAGGGACTAGGAGACAAAATAAAACTAGGAGACAAAGGCAGGGACTAGGAGACAAAATAAAACTAGGAGACAAAGGCAGGGACTAGGAGACAAAGCCAGGGACTAGGAGACAAAATAAAACTAGGAGACAAAGCCAGGGACTAGGAGACAAAGGCAGGGACTAGGAGACAAAATAAAACTAGGAGACAAAGGCAGGGACTAGGAGACAAAGCCAGGGACTAGGAGACAAAATAAAACTAGGAGACAAAGCCAGGGACTAGGAGACAAAATAAAACTAGGAGACAAAGCCAGGGACTAGGAGACAAAATAAAAGTAAGAGACAAAGCCAGGGACTAGGAGACAAAGCCAGGGACTAGGAGACAAAGCCAGGGACTAGGAGACAAAATATAACTAGGAGACAAAGCCAGGGACTAGGAGACAAAGCCAGGGACTAGGAGACAAAATAAAAGTAAGAGACAAAGCCAGGGACTAGGAGACAAAGCCAGGGACTAGGAGACAAAGCCAGGGACTAGGAGACAAAGCCCGCTAGGTGGGAGTCATGTTGAGAGGTTAAAGGTCATACCTGTGTGTCCTTGTAGTTTCTGAACGATCTCTTTGGTCTGAAGGTTCCAGATGTAAACCAGGCTGTCCTCAGAGCCCGACACGATCCACTGAAACACAGAGGTCAAAGGTCAAAGCTCCTCTACAGGTGTACTGTGTTTGACCTCACCTTCCCTCCTGTAACAGAGAAGTTGGCGAAGTACTTCTCGTTCTTATCGCCAGAGTACGTCTTCAAATACTGAAACGCCAAGAGGACAGAGACAGCAGGTCAAACCACTGAAGACAGACAGACAGACGGTTACAGACAGACAGAGAGACAGACGGTTACAGAGAGACAGACGACAGAGACACACAGAGAGACGGTTACAGACAGACAGACGGTTACAGACAGACGGACAGACAGACAGACGGTTACAGAGACACACAGAGAGACGGTTACAGACAGACAGAGAGACGGTTACAGACAGACGGTTACAGACAGACAGAGAGACAGACGGTTACAGAGACACACAGAGAGACGGTTACAGACAGACAGAGAGACGGTTACAGACAGACGGTTACAGACAGACAGAGAGACAGACGGTTACAGACAGACAGAGAGACAGACGGTTACAGACAGACGGTTACAGACAGACAGAGAGACAGACGGTTACAGACAGACAGAGAGACAGACGGTTACAGAGACACACAGAGAGACGGTTACAGACAGACAGACGGTTACAGACAGACAGACGGTTACAGACAGACAGAGAGACAGACGGTTACAGAGACACACAGAGAGACGGTTACAGACAGACAGAGAGACAGACGGTTACAGAGACACACAGAGAGACGGTTACAGACAGACAGAGAGACGGTTACAGACAGACAGACGGTTACAGACAGACAGACGGTTACAGACAGACAGAGAGACAGACGGTTACAGAGACACACAGAGAGACGGTTACAGACAGACAGAGAGACAGACGGTTACAGACAGACAGACGACAGAGGCAGACAGAGACGGTTACAGACAGACAGACGGTTACAGACAGACAGACGACAGAGACAAAGACATGTTCAAGTCAAACGGCTCGTTCGGCTCCGCTGCGGAACAAGAAATCTCAGAGAGCCTGGAGACCAACTGCTCTCTGAAATGTCTGCGACTTTAACAGAAGACACAGAGGCCGGTTTCTGAGCTTTAAGGGGTTTAAGGTTTAAAGAGAGCTGGCCGGGCTGAACCACGAGCTTAACCAGAAGCTGTCCGAGGTCGGGGCGAGGAACTGAAGAAGCCAGGGTCCCCGCTCTTTTCTACACATCATTTTCCAGCTGCTGCGACAGACGGGTATCACACGGTCCACTGACACGTTCCTCTCTGCTCAAGCAGCTGAACCAAACCGGTTCAACATCAGTAATAAAGGACCACAGGCAGCAGGTATTTACCTTTGGAGCTTGAGGAAACTTTCCTTTCATTCTAAAGAGGCTTTCAGTTACAAGAGAAAAATAGTTTGGAGTCTACATTTGCTTAGATGTGTTGAATTCTTTTCTAAATTCATTAAAGGCACATTCCTTCACGGTAGATTAAATCAAATTTGGTCTAAAATATTTATCTCAGTCAGGACCTTTGTATCTAATCATAATTAAGATATTCTCCATTTCCAACAACCTCATATTTGTCTCAGTGTTTGACAACATTTTCCTTCCAAAAATAATAGAATTTGGTCGTGAACGGGACACAGTCACGTGTTTGGGCTTTGAGAAAAAGAAATCCCTCCAAGTTCTGTTATTTACTGACATGATCCGCAGCGCTGATCCAGCCTCTCCAACAGCCAGCTGGTCTACGTACATATATATAAAAATGAGATGTGTGGAACCATCGCACAGGGGACCCGCTGGCCTTTACAGGGCCTGTCGGTAGGAACCAGCCTCACTCTGTGTGGAGTCACACCGGTGGCAGCACACCGCTCAGTGCTGGAACCATTCAGACCGCCACACCTGTGACCACGTGACCTGACATGTGGGCCTTTATCTGGGAGTAGAGGTGGAGGGAAAGGTCAATATAGCATCGCAATATTTTACGTGGCAACATTGTATCGATACACAGATGCCAAGTATCGACCTTTTATTATATAAATTGTACTTTTTGGTACTATAATAATAAATCAATTGCCTTTTCTGTCAACTAGAGAAAGAGTTTTCCTTTGGGGACACAATTTGAAGTTGGAAAAAAGGTAATAAATTGCAAAAATATCGCATTGTCACAGACGTATCGCGATAATATCACATCGTGGGGCCTCTAGTGATTCCCACCCTTAATCCAGGAGGCCTCTGCACTTGAAGGAAATAAAATAAATATATTCACCATCGGCTCAGATTTCTACACATTAACAGTGGAGAGGATTTTAATAGAAATATAGGGGACAGTTTCAATCCCACTCAACAACATTTAAAAAGAGGCCGTCCTCTGAGGATTAAAGCAAGGTGGGAAGCAGAGGGTGATCTCACAATCACACTGGAAGGATGAGTCCAGTCCTGCAGACAGCAGCACTTCAGTGACTCGACTCTTAACTCAGACAGGCAGCTGGAAACGAGTGTCCTGGAGGCAGTTTTTAACGGTGGAAATCTGATTTAAGATCATGTATCTTCAAAAGGCTTTCACCAGACAAACCAACCACAAAGAATCACATCTGACCCAAGAACTCACACTGATGTCTACAGAAACGTAAAGTCAGAACTCCCTAATCCTCTCCCGCAGATGTCTTTGATGAACACTGGGCAAACGTTAGTCTCTTGTGTTGTGTAGCAGGCTCCTGATTGGCTCAGTGTGACCTGCCAAGGAGTTTAATTGGCTGTTTCAAATGAAGGCCTCTATCTGCGTAGGCAGACACTGATCAGGTGTCTTCATCTTCCCTGGATTCAGATTTCTCCTCAAAGGAAGTGATTCACAGAGCGGGCTTGTTCCTGTAGCAGACGGTCATCTCTTCAGATTTACTATTAAAGGGACGTTTACTCACCGATCAGAGTCTTCAGACACTGTCCCGACGCCGCGTCCCAGATCCGGCTGCAGACACACAGAATCAAATCAGCCTTGGTTCTGCAGCGAGTCGTGTTTCAGTGCTACTCTGTGAGAGTCAGAGAGACGTACCAGAGGCCGTCATAGCTGCTGGAGACGATCAGCGAGCCGTCTCTGTTGAAGTGAACCTGGAACACACAGGCCGGGTCGGGGGTCGGGGGGTCAGGGGACAGAACTTATTTATGCAAATTATAAACGGGTCCACGAAAAGTCCTAAACCGCGTGGAGGGTCAGAGGTCAGGACTTACAGCAGAGACGGGGTCAGAGTGAGCCGGCAGTGTCTTCAGACACTTTCCCGTCTTAACGTCCCAGATCCGAACGCTCTCATCAAACTGCAGACGCACAGAGAGACGGAGACAGTCAGCTTTATTAAGATCCAGAACCTCGCTGCTGCTGCTGCTGCGTTGGGGTGAGGCGGCGTACCGATCCGGACACCACCAGGTTGGACTGAGGGTTGAAGTTGCAGCAGAAGACGTAGTTACTGTGACCCTTCAGAGTCTTCAGACACTTCCCCTGAAGAGACAGACAGAGACTTATGTTCACTCTGCTGACAGGACGGGACACACGTCTGCAGGCAGCCCACTGCTGCGTCAACACAAACTCTTACATGTCAAACAGACAGCTGTGTGTTGGGTCTCGGGCTGGGGATCAAACACTGGCTACCAAATCATGGATTCATTAAGAATTCCTCCATCCTTCCCCAGAGACGCCCCTCTAGTTCAGAGACTCCTCTTACTTTAACCATGAAGAGGAAGATGAGCGACGAGGAAGAGGATTCACCGAGCGCTGACGAGATCTGAGGTGAAGGAACCAGAACCGAGAGTCCATAAGAACCGGGTTCAATGAGTAGCTGTGTGTATATGGTGCAGGCTGCCTCCCTTCTCTCCCCCCCCCCCCCTCCATGACGGCAGCTCTGATCCAACAGGGTAAATATATGTAGATCTGCTGCAGAGAGTCAAGCAGCTGAAACCGCCTGAAAGCCGTTACAGCTGAGAGACTTTACTCTGACGTCCTGCTCTCTAAACGTCGGTCAGCTCCTGCTGGTCCCCTGAGATAACAGCGTAGGCGAGTCAGTAAAGTAACGGTATAAAGGCCTGACAGCAGGAGCTAGGAGGAGGTGTGTGGGGTCTTACAGGAGCTGGCGAGCCACTCTCCGTTGGGGCTGAACTTGACAGAAGAGACGGCCTTCGTGTGTCCTGCCAGCGTGAACTTCACCGTGTAGTTCGGTTTGGCCGGACTGGAAACACCTGGTTAGTACCTGAGGAGAGACCGACAGCAGCTTCAAGATCTTCACAGAGCAGGACCACCAACATGAGAAACAGAAACCTCTGGATGGGCCCCGCCTGGACCTGATGGGCCCCGCCTGGACCTGATGGGCCCCGCCTGGACTACGTTCACACTGACATGAACAATTTATTTATTAAGCTCCTTTAAAAAGCAATTAATAAACAGACCAATCAAATAAAAACCTAAATATGTCAAAACAAGATAAACACGCGTCCCTGAGCAGACGCAGAAGATTAAACGTCTCTGTGGGGGGCCGGGGCCTTTGTTTTAATCCCAGACTGTGGAACGGCTAAAAGGAACTGGTCTGAAGATCTGATGCCGCTTTCACACACAACACGCTGACGTGCAAAGTCAACGCCAACACGAGGAGAGACGTGACTTTCTGACGCCACCGACCGCTTCGGAGTGTGGAGGACAGAGACGAATACCCGGCTGCAGAAGAACGTTCCCTTAGAGACGAACGCAGAGCAGCGAGGCGGAACTGATGTGGCGGGAAACAGGCTGCGAGTCTAAAATACGGAGACATGCAGAGTACAAGAGTAGAAATGTTATTTACACAATACTTTAATAAAACTCTGTCAGCAGCATCGTGTTCCTGCTTTGACTGACTGATCAGAGCCAATCAGAGAGCCAGACGGGAGCGTCACCAGCTGTCAGCACGAACACGGAGGCAGGAGGAGACGTAGCAGGAGGTCTGAGTTTAAAACAAAGACGTAGCAGTGTGGGCGGAGCCTGAAGGACAGAAAGATTCCAGCGCTGCCCTGATGGAGCCAAACTCCATTCAGAAAACAGACCTTTTAAAAGTTGTCTGCTTGTCGTCCTGCTCATATTTTTAACAAATCTGCATCGTGTCCTCGTTACTTCAGCTGCAGGAAGACTCGTCCACAAAAAAAGAATTTAACACCCCTGTTGGTATAAGGAGCTTAGAGGAGAAACAACGTCAGGAGATCTGGATGGAGCAGGTCCGTGTAAGGCCCTGAGAACTACTAGCAGCACCTTCAAATCCACTCTACATCTGAGCCGTCACCAGGGAGGAGAGTCCAGGATCTGGGAGATGTGGACCCTGTTCCTGGTCCCCATCAACAAGCTGCAGGCCTGATAATGATGAGAACACAGGAACAGGTTTCAGGTCTGTAAACATTCAGGGGGGAAGGCCGGACCCGTGCGCACGCTGAGACCAGAACCCGTCCTTCATCACAGAGACCACAGAAACGGTCTCACAACAAGGTCCAGATCAGAGTCGTTGTTCTAGTCCCTGAAACAGAATTCAACATCTGACCAGCTAATCAATAATTAAACACGTCACTATTTGCAGCTGGTCTCGAACACGGATCATCTGCTGGAGCTGGATCGCCCAGTCTCCTGGCAGGTGAAATAGTCTACTCATGTTTTGGGTTGTATCGGCCATTTAAAGGTATTTTAACAGGTAAAAAGAGTGGACTGGTGCCTTCACAGCAAGTAAATAATGCAGAGTCATGAGGATAATTACAAAATTCTCTTCATTTTCTATCCAAGTTGCCAGTAAGTCACGTTAGTTAGGCTACAGCGTGTTTTCCAAATATAAACAAAGATATTAGACACAGGCCCGGATCCGGACCCTGCTGGGTCTCAGGTCTCAGGTCTAAGAGCTAACTGTTAGCTCACCATTAGCTCACCGGACCGGCTGTCCCGGAGTCCGGCGGACTCACCTTGCTGCCGGACCCTGAGGAGGATGAAGGCGGCTTGTTTTCAGTCTCTGGTTTCTTCTCCTCTGTCGCCATGTCGCTCAGCTCTCAGGCTGCTAACCAGCGTTAGCTCCGGCTAGCAGTTAGCTCCGGCTAGCAGTTAGCTCCGGCTAGCTGTTAGCTCCGGCTAGCAGTTAGCTCCGGCTAGCTGTTAGCTCCGGCTAGCTGTTAGCTCCGGCTAGCTGCTAGCTCCGGCTAGCTTCAGCGTTAGCTCTGTTTTGATTCTCTGCTGCCGGAGCGGAGCTACAGTTCACGGCCTGAACCGGGTCTGAACAAAGCCAGACTCTGTGCTGGATCGGACCCCTGCAGCAGCAGAATAGCCTGTTAGCTTCAGTTAGCCACCAGAACGTGCCGGAGAGCACGTAGCTGCTTCCTCCAATGGTTCTACTTCTTCTTCTTCGTGGTTTATGGCGGTTGGCATTTAAAACGTTGCCTGAGCGCCACCTCCTGGATGAAATATTCCCCCTGTGCGACCAAAAACGATATCAAAAAATAAAGATAAAAAAACTTCGCATCATTCGATATCGATCATTTCTTTGATCTCTGATTTTAGCTCCTGGGTGAAAATAAATAAAGAAACCTGATTGTTTTTTAAACTTTTCTTTCTGGTCAGAACAAACACTTGAAGCCAAACAGCAGAACTATTCTGATAAAATCCTTACTTACTATAAAACTATACTTACTAAATCTTTTTCAGTTTCTTTTCCTCCACAAAACAAATATCTTAATAGAAAAATGAAGTGCTAATTCATTCGTGATTAAAATAAATCAAACATTCATTGAACATTTGTTATATTGTTATTGAGGATCAGTATTCATTCAGTGTCTGTTCTGTAACTCAGGGGTGGAGTCTATCCTTCCCTCCGCGTGGTGACTCTGGCCCAATCACAACGTCCCCCCTCACAGACTCGCACACTCTGAGGCGCGTTCCCGGGACGCCCGTGAGGGCTTTAGGGCCGTCCCAACCGTCAAGTGCGCGAGGGCTGTCTCGTGGACATTTTGAGCCCAGGACAGAAGTCACTCGCCTCCGCCTCCGGCTCATGGGACCTTACTTCGGTAAAATATGTACGGGAGTCAACGGCGAGAGACAACTTATTTTTTTATCCCGTTAGAATCGAGCCTTGAATCACACATGATGTTGGTCAGTTTAAAATGTAATTTTGCTGGTCAAGAAAGTCGCATTTTGTTGTAAAACAGTGAAGTTACGTGCGGTTTTGTGTGAAAACTGTTAAACGAACTGCATCTCTCGTCTCGCACCAACATGTTAGCGCGGTAATGCTAAGCTAACGTTTGTTGCTTGGTGGCTACTAGCTGGATAACTCAGCTGTGTTCCACGCAGAAATATATCTCAACGACTCTCAGTCCTTTTATCACATCATCCGCTCATGCAAGTTTTTATACGTTAGCTTCAGAAACGTTAGCTTCAGTCGTTAAGAGACAGTTACGACATCACGTACGTGACTTTTGGGTTTGTGGTCTTTGTAATTCCGTATTTTCAAAGTCTGATACCTCAACAGTTTTACATCAAACTGCGACTTTCTTGACTTTAAAATGTATCTTTTAAATTGACAAACATTGCGTGTGCGATTCAGGGCACGATTCAAACGGCATCAAAACATTTGTTGTCCCTCGCCGTTGACTACCGTACAGTATTTTTCCGTAATAAGGTCCCATGGTGGTCCACCTGAAGGGGAGGGACTTAGGCTCTCTATAGAGCCTTTTCGTAAGTCCGCATTTCTGCAGACTTTGCCTGAGGGAATTGCCCACAGTTCATAGCGGTATGACGTGAAACATGGAGGTTACCAGGGTTACCAGGGGAAGCCCGGAAGCGAGAGAAGAAGAAAACGGTAAACACCAGAGGAACAGTCACCGTATTACACACTGCGTTTATTCAACTATTTAGTTTTTGCTTAATGACGCTGTGTGATGATGATTATCTTCAAACAGACACTCCCCTCTCCTCCACGCTGCAGGGCGAGAGCCTGCAGGACTTACAAAGAAGGCGAAAGCATAACGTAAAAAGTGGGCGACATGTCGCCGCCTCTCAAACACCTTCAGCACCCTGAAACTCCGCGTCTTCCTCCGAACTCGGGACGCCACTTGCTGCTCTGTCTTCTTCCATTCTGACCCGAGTGGGAAACATTTCACACAGATATAAACGTTTTAGTCCTCCACGCTTGCTCTCTGCCGCCTTCACACTGAGGCGGTCCTTGTCATTTTGGTCGCTGCGGTCATACCCGCTGCGTCCATCAGATCAGACCGCCTGCCCTTTCCTCGAGCACGTGGCTGCTACTGCGCATGCGTGATAGGAAGGTTACAGTCATACGGCAAGAGAAGGTGGTCAAAAACAATAAGGTCAAAGTCAGGACAAGCTTCACTGTTCAGAAATGCAAATATAAATACAGACAAATACAATATGTTGGTCAGTTTGATCAGTTTATTGGGGAAATGACAAGCAGGAACAAAACAAACCTTTATGTCATCTAGACAGCGTGTTTATACCTGAACCAATCACATCCTGTCCATCTCCTCGTTAATGGTGTTGTTACTCCATCAGAGAGAGAGAGGGGACAGGAAATGAGGGAGAGACCGATGGACAAAAGGTCCCGGGGGACGTCGGGGTTCATGGCGTCTTCACACTGAAAGCGAATCCAGCGTTTTGGAGCTTCAGAGCGCCGTGTGGAGAAGACCGGGCAGAGCGGGGGAGTGAAACGGCGCTGGCCGACGTAGAGCTGCTGAAGTACGGGAAAGTGCAGAGCAGAATCTGGACAGCTGAGCCGTTTACCCGCGAGAGCAGCTCAGAGTTAAACTGCTTTCATTAAATCAGCTTTTTACTTTAGTTTTCGGGTTTTAAACGCTGATTTATCTTCACTGGAGCTTCCGTGCACATCCGGTTCCACTGTTGCTGTCGTTAGCGCTGCAGGACTATTTATATAAAAACCTGAAAAGTGGACATTGCTGGAGAAAAGAAAGCGAGGAAGCTGAACTACCTGGTGAGTTCAGAAAACGTGTGTCTGTAACTTTATTCCAGCTGTGGTTGTACTTTACTGTGAACAGGTTAACGTAACGTAGCCCTGATCGAACCAAACTCCATTCAGAAAACAAACGGTTTAACAGCTGCTGTCCTGCTGACAAAGCATGTTTAACAGATCTGCATCATGTTATTTCAGCATCAGTTTGATCCGTTTATTGTTATTTAACCACAGCAGCATGTTTCCTTTGGGTTCATACAGCTGGAGTTATTTGCACGTTGTGTTTATTGGCGTTGTCAGTGTTCGGTTGTCCAGAGATAAAAACCCGCGCGAGGATTAAATTAAACACAGCCTCAGGGGGCCTTTTCCCAGCTGCCTCACTTACTTCTGTTGAGTCGCACCAAAGGTCGTTTCCCCCTCGGTGCGGCCGGCAGGTGTGAACGCAGCGGCCGCACTCAGGTCGGCGCCAAAAGCAGATCAAACGAGCACACAACCCAGCCGGCTACAGGGTTTCATGATGGCACGTGTGGGATTTCTGTGTTCAGGGAGTAATGTGAGTGCTGACCCAAAGGAAAAGGTCAGAGCTGTTAAATGCTGAGTCTCTTGCTTCTGTAAACTCTCTGCAGCGTCAGACACAGAGAAATAATAAAGACGAACACCTGCAGCTGTTCCGCCTCCAGCCTGCGGCCCGGCACGGATCCAGGATCAGTTCTCAGCGTGCCGCCAGATCCCGCAGAGGAAACCAGCCGCCGGTGATGAAGCTGAGGATCACGGTAGCGAGCGACCCCGCCCACCGCCACCCGACATTACACAGCGACCAATCGCAGCAAGCGACCGACACTCCGGGAAGCTCCGTCTGCTGACAGTGACGAGACGTCGCGCATCCCCGAGACAAGACCAGGTCCAGGGACTCTACAGGAGCGGAGAGAGAGGGAGGAGTTTAATTTTTAAACATACAGGGAGCAGAACGATAAAACCAGATGGCTGGATGTTTAAAAAGTGCCGATCCAGTCACCTTGTTAACAGAGACGACGCGCTGCAGCCTGCGCAGGCGGTCGTTATTAATCTACAGACACAACTTTCAGAATGAGATAGAAACAAGACTGTCTGACTGACAGACAGGTGACCAGAGAGACAGGTGACCAGAGAGACAGACAGGTGACCAGACAGACAGGTGACCAGAGAGACAGGTGACCAGAGAGAGAGACAGGTGACCAGAGAGACAGACAGGTGACCAGACAGACAGGTGACCAGACAGACAGACAGGTGACCAGACAGACAGACAGGTGACCAGACAGACAGACAGGTGACCAGACAGACAGACAGACAGGTGACCAGACAGACAGGTGACCAGAGAGACAGACAGGTGACCAGACAGACAGACAGGTGACCAGAGAGACAGACAGGTGACCAGACAGACAGGTGACCAGAGAGACAGGTGAACAGACAGACAAGTAAACAGACAGACAGACAGACAGGTGACCAGACAGACAGGTGACCAGAGAGACAGACAGGTGACCAGACAGACAGACAGGTGACCAGACAGACAGGTGACCAGAGAGACAGACAGGTGACCAGACAGACAGGTGACCAGACAGACAGGTGACCAGACAGACAGACAGGTGACCAGACAGACAGGTGACCAGAGAGACAGACAGGTGACCAGACAGACAGACAGGTGACCAGACAGACAGACAGGTGACCAGACAGACAGACAGGTGACCAGACAGGTGACCAGACAGACAGGTGACCAGACAGGTGACCAGACAGACAGGTGACCAGACAGACAGACAGGTGACCAGACAGACAGGTGACCAGACAGACAGACAGGTGACCAGACAGACAGGTGACCAGACAGACAGGTGACCAGACAGACAGACAGGTGACCAGACAGGTGACCAGACAGACAGGTGAACAGACAGACAGGTGACCAGAGAGACAGACAGGTGACCAGAGAGACAGACAGGTGACCAGAGAGACAGACAGGTGACCAGACAGACAGGTGACCAGACAGACAGACAGGTGACCAGAGAGACAGGTGAACAGACAGACAGTTGACCAGACAGACAGACAGGTGACCAGACAGGTGACCAGAGAGACAGGTGACCAGAGAGACAGACAGGTGACCAGAGAGACAGACAGGTGACCAGACAGACAGACAGGTGACCAGACAGACAGACAGGTGACCAGACAGACAGACAGGTGACCAGACAGACAGACAGGTGACCAGACAGACAGGTGACCAGACAGGTGACCAGACAGACAGGTGACCAGACAGACAGGTGACCAGACAGACAGGTGACCAGACAGACAGACAGGTGACCAGACAGGTGACCAGACAGACAGGTGAACAGACAGACAGGTGACCAGAGAGACAGACAGGTGACCAGAGAGACAGACAGGTGACCAGAGAGACAGACAGGTGACCAGAGAGACAGACAGGTGACCAGAGAGACAGACAGGTGACCAGACAGACAGGTGACCAGACAGACAGACAGGTGACCAGAGAGACAGGTGAACAGACAGACAGTTGACCAGACAGACAGACAGGTGACCAGACAGGTGACCAGAGAGACAGGTGACCAGAGAGACAGACAGGTGACCAGAGAGACAGACAGGTGACCAGACAGACAGACAGGTGACCAGACAGACAGACAGGTGACCAGACAGACAGACAGGTGACCAGACAGACAGACAGGTGACCAGACAGACAGACAGGTGACCAGACAGACAGGTGACCAGACAGGTGACCAGACAGACAGGTGACCAGACAGACAGGTGACCAGACAGGTGACCAGACAGACAGGTGACCAGACAGACAGACAGGTGACCAGACAGACAGACAGGTGACCAGACAGACAGACAGGTGACCAGACAGACAGACAGGTGACCAGAGAGACAGACAGGTGACCAGAGAGACAGACAGGTGACCAGAGAGACAGACAGGTGACCAGACAGACAGGTGACCAGAGAGAGAGACAGGTGACCAGAGAGACAGACAGGTGACCAGACAGACAGGTGAACAGACAGACAGACAGGTGAACAGACAGACAGACAGGTGAACAGACAGACAGACGACCAGACAGACAGACAGGTGACCAGAGAGACAGACAGGTGACCAGACAGACAGGTGACCAGAGAGACAGGTGACCAGAGAGAGAGACAGGTGACCAGAGAGACAGACAGGTGACCAGAGAGACAGACAGGTGACCAGACAGACAGGTGACCAGAGAGACAGACAGGTGACCAGACAGACAGACAGGTGAACAGACAGACAGACAGGTGACCAGACAGACAGGTGACCAGACAGACAGACAGGTGACCAGACAGACAGGTGACCAGACAGACAGGTGACCAGACAGACAGACAGGTGACCAGACAGACAGACAGGTGAACAGACAGACAGACAGGTGAACAGACAGACAAGTAAACAGACAGACAGACAGGTGAACAGACAGACAGGTGACCAGACAGACAAGTAAACAGACAGACAGACAGGTGACCAGAGAGACAGACAGGTGACCAGACAGACAGGTGAACAGACAGACAGACGACCAGACAGACAGACAGGTGACCAGACAGACAGGTGAACAGACAGACAGACAGGTGACCAGACAGACAGACAGGTGACCAGACAGACAGACAGGTGACCAGACAGACAGGTGACCAGACAGACAGACAGGTGACCAGACAGACAGGTGACCAGACAGACAGGTGACCAGACAGACAGACAGGTGACCAGACAGACAGACAGGTGACCAGACAGACAGGTGACCAGACAGACAGACAGGTGACCAGACAGACAGGTGACCAGACAGACAGACAGGTGACCAGACAGGTGACCAGAGAGACAGGTGAACAGACAGACAGGTGACCAGAGAGACAGACAGGTGACCAGAGAGACAGACAGGTGACCAGACAGACAGGTGACCAGACAGACAGACAGGTGACCAGAGAGACAGGTGAACAGACAGACAGTTGACCAGACAGACAGACAGGTGACCAGACAGGTGACCAGAGAGACAGGTGACCAGAGAGACAGGTGACCAGAGAGACAGACAGGTGACCAGAGAGACAGACAGGTGACCAGACAGACAGACAGGTGACCAGACAGACAGACAGGTGAACAGACAGACAGACAGGTGAACAGACAGACAAGTAAACAGACAGACAGACAGGTGAACAGACAGACAGGTGACCAGACAGACAAGTAAACAGACAGACAGACAGGTGACCAGAGAGACAGACAGGTGACCAGACAGACAGGTGAACAGACAGACAGACAGGTGAACAGACAGACAGACAGGTGAACAGACAGACAGACAGGTGAACAGACAGACAGACGACCAGACAGACAGACAGGTGAACAGACAGACAGACAGGTGAACAGACAGACAGGTGACCAGACAGACAGGTGACCAGACAGACAGACGACCAGACAGACAGGTGACCAGACAGACAGACGACCAGACAGACAGGTGAACAGACAGACAGACGACCAGACAGACAGACAGGTGACCAGACAGACAGGTGACCAGACAGACAGACGACCAGACAGACGACCAGACAGACAGGTGAACAGACAGACAGACAGGTGACCAGACAGACAGACAGGTGACCAGACAGACAGACAGGTGAACAGACAGACAGGTGAACAGACAGACAGACAGGTGACCAGACAGACAGACAGGTGAACAGACAGACAGGTGAACAGACAGACAGACGACCAGACAGACAGGTGAACAGACAGACAGACGACCAGACAGACAGACAGGTGACCAGACAGACAGGTGACCAGACAGACAGACAGGTGAACAGACAGACAGGTGAACAGACAGACAGGTGAACAGACAGACAGGTGAACAGACAGACAGACGACCAGACAGACAGACGACCAGACAGACAGACAGACAGGTGAACAGACAGACAGACAGGTGAACAGACAGACAGGTGACCAGACAGACAGGTGAACAGACAGACAGACAGACGACCAGACAGACAGACAGGTGACCAGACAGACAGGTGACCAGACAGACAGGTGACCAGACAGACAGACAAGTAAACAGACAGACAGACAGGTGACCAGACAGACAGACAGGTGACCAGACAGACAGACAGGTGACCAGACAGACAGACAGGTGAACAGACAGACAGACGACCAGACAGACAGACAGGTGAACAGACAGACAGACGACCAGACAGACAGACAGGTGACCAGACAGACAGGTGACCAGACAGACAGACAGGTGACCAGACAGACAGGTGACCAGACAGACAGGTGACCAGACAGACAGACAGGTGACCAGACAGACAGACAGGTGACCAGACAGACAGGTGACCAGACAGACAGGTGACCAGACAGACAGACAGGTGACCAGACAGACAGGTGACCAGACAGGTGACCAGAGAGACAGGTGAACAGACAGACAGGTGACCAGAGAGACAGACAGGTGACCAGAGAGACAGACAGGTGACCAGACAGACAGGTGACCAGACAGACAGACAGGTGACCAGAGAGACAGGTGAACAGACAGACAGTTGACCAGACAGACAGACAGGTGACCAGACAGGTGACCAGAGAGACAGGTGACCAGAGAGACAGGTGACCAGAGAGACAGACAGGTGACCAGAGAGACAGACAGGTGACCAGACAGACAGACAGGTGACCAGACAGACAGACAGGTGACCAGACAGACAGACAGGTGAACAGACAGACAAGTAAACAGACAGACAGACAGGTGAACAGACAGACAGGTGACCAGACAGACAAGTAAACAGACAGACAGACAGGTGACCAGAGAGACAGACAGGTGACCAGACAGACAGGTGAACAGACAGACAGACAGGTGAACAGACAGACAGACAGGTGAACAGACAGACAGACAGGTGAACAGACAGACAGACGACCAGACAGACAGACAGGTGAACAGACAGACAGACAGGTGAACAGACAGACAGGTGACCAGACAGACAGGTGACCAGACAGACAGACGACCAGACAGACAGGTGACCAGACAGACAGACGACCAGACAGACAGGTGAACAGACAGACAGACGACCAGACAGACAGACAGGTGACCAGACAGACAGGTGACCAGACAGACAGACGACCAGACAGACGACCAGACAGACAGGTGAACAGACAGACAGACAGGTGACCAGACAGACAGACAGGTGACCAGACAGACAGACAGGTGACCAGACAGACAGACAGGTGAACAGACAGACAGGTGAACAGACAGACAGACAGGTGACCAGACAGACAGACAGGTGAACAGACAGACAGGTGAACAGACAGACAGACGACCAGACAGACAGGTGAACAGACAGACAGACGACCAGACAGACAGACAGGTGACCAGACAGACAGGTGACCAGACAGACAGACAGGTGAACAGACAGACAGGTGAACAGACAGACAGGTGAACAGACAGACAGACGACCAGACAGACAGACGACCAGACAGACAGACAGACAGGTGAACAGACAGACAGACAGGTGAACAGACAGACAGGTGACCAGACAGACAGGTGAACAGACAGACAGACAGACGACCAGACAGACAGACAGGTGACCAGACAGACAGGCGACCAGACAGACAGGTGAACAGACAGACAGACGACCAGACAGACAGGTGACCAGACAGACAGACAGGTGAACAGACAGACAGGTGACCAGACAGACAGACAGGTGAACAGACAGACAGGTGACCAGACAGACAGACAGGTGACCAGACAGACAGACAGGTGACCAGACAGACAGACAGGTGACCAGACAGACAGACAGGTGAACAGACAGACAGACGACCAGACAGACAGACAGGTGAACAGACAGACAGACGACCAGACAGACAGACAGGTGACCAGACAGACAGACAGGTGACCAGACAGACAGACGACCAGACAGACAGGTGACCAGACAGACAGACGACCAGACAGACAGGTGAACAGACAGACAGACGACCAGACAGACAGGTGAACAGACAGACAGGTAAACAGACAGACAGGTGACCAGACAGACACACGAACAGACAGACAGGTAAACAGACAGACAGGTGACCAGACAGACAGGCGAACAGACAGACAGGTGACCAGACAGACAGGTGACCAGACAGACAGACGAACAGACAGACAGGTAAACAGACAGACAGGTGACCAGACAGACAGACGAACAGACAGACAGGTAAACAGACAGACAGGTGAACAGACAGACAGACGAACAGACAGACAGGTGAACAGACAGACAGGTAAACAGACAGACAGGTACTGACTGCTGTACGTCGTGATGCAGAATCGCAGTTTGAATCCTCTCTCTGTTCGACTGCAGTTGATGGTTTCTGGTTGGCCGCAGCCCAGCTCCACGTAGCCCCGCCCCCGGCCACGCCCACCGCCTACATTACAACCCAAACACTGGAGACCGCCTCCTGAGACACACACACACACAGAGTTATGAACTTCAGACACCAACAAGCTTTTAATTTGAAGTGAAGACCAGGTGTGCTGGTAAAGGTAAAATGCTGATCTGAAACTGCTGAGATGCTCCAGACTCCAAGGGCCCCGAAGGCCCCTGGTTTTTTAAACATGCAGAAAATACCTATGAAGCCATGGAAAAACACATTAATATACTACATGCAACAGAGAGAAACTCTTTAAATAAATAAATGTGCAGTAAACAATAAATATAATTCAGACATGGTGTGAAAGCAGGTCTGCAAAGGTCAGAGGTCAACGCTCTGCAGCCTGAAGCTGTTAGCGGCTCATGCTAACAATGAATCCATTAACATTTAGAGTGAGAACTGCTGCAGGTCGCAGATTAAAAATAAACACCATGAAGCCGCAGAGCTACAGTCAGACTGCAGGACGACTCCGCAAACACACCTGGTCCATTGTAACACTGGAGACGGACAGGCGGTCTGTAAACTGTCCAACGCCACATCACAGAGGTCAGAGTCACTCACTGTTCAGAACTCCTCTGACAGAAACCAGAACTTTAAGATGTCTGACAGATTCTCATCATCATCATCTCATCATTTCAAAATAAAGCGGAGACAAGCGAAGTCTTACCTTTCAGACAGACGGCAGGCAGAGCAGCGAGACAGCAGAGCAGCAGCCGAGAGGGCGACATGACCAGAGACTGAACGCCGACCGCTCGCTCTCCGACCTCCACCCGAACGCTGCCGTCTGATTGGTGGAGCCTGCAGACAGGACTCAGGGTTACTTTGCTCTTTCAACACACGACTCTGGTCTCATTTACATCAACTAACCCAGGTTCAGTTTAAAACCATTTTCTTTAACGCTGAACTTTCTGAACATTTTCAGCATTAAACACTTAAATTCCTGAATTCTGGTGAATTTTTGGAAATGTTGGTTCCGTTTGTAACACGGTTGGGATGGGCGGTGGGCCAGAAACCTCCACCCAGGAGGCCGGTGTAGTTTCCTCACCATTGGAGATTTTATGGAGGTTGCGTAAGTTGTGTACGTAACTTAAAGGGTGCTGTGAAGTGAGAATGAGTTGACCCTTCTCAAGTTACCTGCGGGGTTTCAGACATGTACATCCAAGTTCCAACATCTGTTTCATCTCCCGTAGACCCGGACGTGTCTCGCCTGTCCATCAGCGGCTGCATCTGTCCGGGACGTTATCTGTAGTGCGGATCGATCGGGCCGGGATCAATACAAGGATTACAGTGAAATTCCTCGATTCTCGATACCCAATATGAAACCACGGAGAAAAACATCACATCCCATCATGCACTTCAACAAACACTCCTTTAAATAAAACCAGCTGTGAAAGAGGACGTGCAGGACAGATGAGGCGGGTTCATGTCAGAATATTCAGAGGCGTTGTTGAAGTTACAACCTGCACTGTGCTGATTTCATTCATTATTTCAGTCTCTCGGGTGAGAAATGTTTCATGAAACTAACTCTACGACTTGCTGTTTATCTTTGACAAGTCGAGCGGTCGCTGAGCTTGTCCAGGTGCTGGATCCCCGGTGGGAACCTGGAGAAACGAGTACAGTCATGTCTTAATTGTGACATCCCTAGTAGTCAGTCCTGTCAGCATCATGTGACCTTAGTAAGCATACCGAGGTCAACATTTAGAGAGAACGTCCCGTCACCCCCATGCTGTTCAGTCCAGCTTCACATCCTTCTTATAACGTCCGAATTTAACTTTACTGCAAGGAATTTCTTATATCAACTGATTTCTCACAGCTTTGTGTCCGCCCGCTGGCAGAGGCTTCTAGCTTTCCACTTTACCCACCAACACGCTCTGCAAAAAGCCTCAGGCCACACCTTCAAAATGAGGTTAGTGCTTTTCAACCTCTTTCAGTCACTTGTCCTGGAAATCAAATTTGACATTATGGTCATTTTGAGTGTTTGTTTTTTTTTTTTTTTTAACAGGAGTAGAAAATTCAAGCTAAAGCTGATTTACAGCCGCTCTGACCCCAAGGACAAGAAAGTTCAAACCCATTATAACGTCGTAACCCATAATTATTGAAACGCATGGTGCACCTGCGCCTGTTTTAAAGGGCGATCAGAACCCATTATTATCTTTTAATAATAAAATAATCTTATCTTTTTATTATATCCAAATCCAGCAGTAAACAAGTGAATCCATTAGACGGACTCTGTTAGGCTGGAGGGAATCTCGGACTTTGTGTTGAAGGGCAGCGGCGCTCCAGCTGTAGCTCCGGCACAGCAGTGAATACCACAATATTTCAACGGAAGTCCGTGTGCTGTGCGCAGATAAGGGCACAATGAAAGGAGAGAAGCTAAACGAAGCCGAGCCCGGCCCGAATCGCCCCAGCGTGTCGGGCCCCGTGGGGACCAGACGTGCTTGCAGACCTCTAGTTGTGTCGGTGTCACTGCGGCGCTCCCACTAAGTTATTTCTTGCTTCTTCCTCCTGCAGTTTGTTCCTCACCCGCTCTCTAACAACAAGCCTGGCGTCCTACTCGGGGGTGGGGAGCTGACGTGTTTCAGCTTCCTGTAGACCTTTATAATAAATATATTTACTGTCTAAAAGCACCGGCTGTTACATTTTTATGCTCTAGAAATAAAACACAAAATGTTTTTTAACAACAACAATTTTATTAACATAATTTAACAAAGACCATTTGGAGCGTGGGGGGGGGGGGGGGGGTGTACACACATGTACCACGCGAGCACCCGACACCAAGGCCGCGGCGGCTGGTGGCTCTCATGGCCATCACCAGGCTTCCAGTTTGGGTGTCGGGGGTCCACACAACCGACCAACCGAGGTTTTGAAACAGAACTACGGCTGGTTCTCCGCCTGCAGCTGGAAGTGCTGCCAACCTGCAAAGGAAAAATAACTAGCCTGAAACTCTTGCTCCCCGTCACACACCAACATTCATTCTTCTATTCTAAATCTGAATCAGAGACACTGCAGCCTGTTTCAGTCGAGCACATACAGAAGGAATAAATGCTTCCTGTAGAGCAGCGAGATTAATGCGGCACGTACCGTGTCGAGGTCGTCGTCATTCTTTCATGAGTATCTGACACATCTGCCCCTGAACGGCACCAGTTGCTCATCGATGCAGATGTCTGGATTAAAATGCAGAGGGGGTCCGCCTCTCCCGCTCCGACCCGGTCATCTCGTCATCGAACCGATGGCCCTGGAAATAATCCGGCCGGTCTCACCATCCCTCAGACTCTGCAATGATTCGTTACACCAGCAAGCAACAGCAGCCAAACTAAAGCCCTCAGGTCTGTGTGGTCCAGGTCAGTCCGGTCTTCCTGGGTCCGTCTCCCCTGGAGGTTTGTCATTGTGAGTAACGTCCAGGAACAGATCTGTGCTGGACTCCAGGGCGCCGGTCCTGGCGACACCGGTGGTTGCCGGGATAGTTGTTGTTTGTTTCATTAAAAAACGACCAAACAGCGACTAAAAGCCGTTTAGCTCGGCGCGATGAGCAAAGTGGCATCGGTTGCTAGGTAACGTATGCTGGATCGAGTGTTTAGGATTTGCTGACCTGAGATAAGACAGGATTCCTAAACTGAGTTGCTTGATTTGCTTCTGTGAAACCAAACTGGGAGAAATCCTCTCTGAGACTCTTCCTGTCTGGACTTCAGACTAAAGACAGGAACGTTCTTGGTGTGAATGTCGCAGACGTGGCGAAGGACGCCAACCCATAATGCCTGCAGAACATAAAAACGCACTAAAATATGTCCTTAACATAGCAATTACTGAAATTACTCAAAGGTACGACGAAACTGCTCACGTGTGTCGGCACTCTCATCACCACCCACACTGTCCTCCAGCCAGGTGAAGAGGACGGACGTCCTTCTGTCTCTGCTGCCTTGAACAGCAGGATGAGTAAGACGCCTTCTGGCAGAGGAGAGTAGGCAGTGAAAACAAAATCTGCAACTGTCTGGTTACTAAACGTGTCACAACAGGAGACAGTTTTTACACTCACTGCTGCTGTTTTCCAGACCGATGGATCCCAAAGGCCTTGTGTTCGTCTCTGTGGAGCTTCATAATGTACTACAATATTTATATTGCTGTTACACACACGAGTACTTACTCATAGGGGCCCCGGTGTGGGCATCTGAGCGCCGGCTTCATCTCTGCTCGTCCACAGTCTGGATGAAAGCTCCTCCATGGCGACAGAGTTGCAGGATTTCTGCTGTCATTCTCCAAAGTGCTGGAGCTGCAGTAATGTGCGCAGCGAGCAGGAGGTTCCTTTCAACAGTGATGAGTTGCTTCCACACAGTCATACATTCAACAGCTTCAACTACACACCTGGGACGACAACGTCTTTCCCTCGAAGGCGACAAAGAGCCTCTGTCCTCTCTTCCTTTACCCTGGTCCAGCGGTCGGCAACAACATCTGGTCAGATTACTTTGATAGCAGAAAAATAAATCAATAAACTAGCGGCTGGTGCTGAAGCAGATCTCTCAAGTGATTGTGCCTCCAAAATAAAAGCACGAGAACGTCTGTAGCAGCAATGCTTCATATCGAGTTCTGAAGGACATTCAAAAGAGTCTCTGGCGTGCTTGCCACACCTCTGAGAAAGCCGCCAGTAAGCGTGTGATCCCCTGAAGCGTCCGTAGGTTTACGACTGCGGATCAAACGCCGGGGCGAACGCACACCGCAGCGCATGCTTTATTGCGTTCTTGTACGAGCACCAGAGACCCGACAGGCACAGTCCCCAACGCTGAGCCTCCTGGTCCCCAGATGCAGAAGGAGACGCCTCTTCTCCGGGTCGGCCGCCCTGTGGTGGTTCGACACGGCGCTGTAGACTTTACAGCAACCAGGGCAGAAACTGCTCTTTCAGGAGCGTCACGTCTGCAGAACAACACAAATAAACAAGAAATAACTGTTAGAAACTGGAATTAATAACTCCTGAAAACGTCAACATTGTCAACAGGGTTTTTAATAGTAAACTTTTGCTTTGGAAAGTCGGTCTCCATGTTATTCTTGTATTCTTGTATTACACTAGTTTTGTGACGACTACTCTAGAAAACCCACCTCACGCACCAAAACCGTTTGTCCACGTGAGCATTGGTTTGTTTCCTCATCAGATTTCAAGTTCAAGTTTTAGAAGCTGCTCTTCAGTGAGTTGCTCAGGCAACCCCTGTGAAGGTGCACTTACTAAGTCCTCAGGTGTTTCCGTCCTAGATCACGTTCCTACATCTGAACAAGAGTTTCACAATGAAACCAGAGTGCAGCTTCCCCACAGCACAGAGTGGCCAATGATACGCAAGCAGCCTAATCACCAACGCTCTCTACCCAACGGCTGTCAGAACCATAATCACAAACGCAGGACCAGAACCAAAGAATATTACCCAAACAAAGACCACGACCAACACGGAGCCTGGATATCAAAACCAAGGCAAAACAACAAATGAGTGCACCGACGGAAGGACAGATTACGGTCAGCTGGCTCACTCCCTAACTCACCAGGGAGATCACTGAATACTGAATCAGGTCAACAGCACTCAGACACTCACCAGGAGGGAGACACAGCAGTGCGTTACCACTAACCACTATTGCACCATTAATGATTTTAAAGGCTTCTCCACTCTTTAAAAACAAAATGCTGTTACAAAACAGGTCAACTGTGTTTGAGTGTTTCTAATGTTGCTACAGGCAAGTTAGTCGTGTTTCAGGCGAGATTTCGTGGTTAAATGCGTTTCCACAGCGTGGCCTCACGTTACTGTGCCGTTAACGTTATTTAAAGCAAGACTCACCCTAAACTGGAGTCCAGTGAACTGACTGTCATGGTCTAAAAGCAGTTTGAGATGATTTGAGATTTGTAAAAAGTAAAATATCCCCCCTACAATCACACCCCCACCAGCCTGAACCGTTGACACAAGGCAGGATGGATCCATGCAATTCACCTGTGTGTGATTATGTCCCCCCCGACTGGGGTATTTAGGAGGACGGCAGCAGCATGACGTCTGAGGAGAGCCGGCAGCTGCCTCCTCCTCCAGCTCAGGAATCAGAAGTCACCTGGGTTACAGTGTCCAGGAGGAATAAGAGTGCGGGAAAAACCTTCAAGTGGCTGCTGAGCCACGACGTCGGCTGGACCTGCATCCCACCAGGTAGAGCGGGAAAGTGGGCCCCTCGCACAGTCGCCCCTCACCGCCAACAAAGATGCCCTCGGCTCTTCCAGGAGATGACGCCGGCAGCGTCGGATGCTGGAGGGCTCTTTGTCGGTGAGAGGGATGGACGGCGACCTGCTGGAGTTTGGCCTCTACAAGGGTCAAACATTCCAGTCGGTCTTTGAGTCCACCGGCAGCGAGAAGCGATCGTAAGTGCTGCAGGTGATGCAGCAGGTGACCATGTGACCACGTGTGTTTTAATGCTTTGCTTTCCCTGGCTGGCGTCATGTCTGTAGCTACCTGCAGTGGGAGAAGCAGCACTTCTCTTCAAGAGTTAGACACCCTAATGTTTGAAATAACTTGTAAAAAGTTTGAATGCACTTTTTTTCTGTAAGAGGGTTCATGTTATAACACAAGTTCTCAGCTTTCTTGTGGGTCTGATCTCTGTAGTAATAAATGTGTTTACGCCTCAGACTGAATGTACTGATGTGACTGACTTTAGTCTCACCCTTAATTTTTCAATATTGTTGGCAGATGTGTATGAATTAGATAAGTGTACATTTCCCCTGCAGTAATGAACAAGTTGTACACAGAGCTGTTGTACTGGCCCCACATGCATGTTGAGTGACGGTATCACTGCAGCAGAACCAGAAATGAGTGCAGACGTCTTTGTTCCACTGCAGAAGAACAGAACAAGCCCTCTGCTGCCTGCAAAAATATTGTATTAAAAAATATACAAGTTTGACACTTGTGATGTCAGTTGTTTATCAGAACACGTCCTGCATGCGAGTTTGTGGAACCTCATGTCTAGAGTGTGCAGCTATCCTGGGATTTTCCTTTGACTGGCTCTTTCCAATAAAGAGCACAACAGAAATGTACTTAGATATACTGTTTGGCAGGTGAGCTCCTTCGAGGTCAAGCAGACATTTACTATTAGTATGACTGTATTGAAGAGAGCAGATATCTGTGCTGATAAAGACTTCCCTGAACTCCTCTGCGTCTCTCGCTTGTCAGTGTTTTCTTTGGTGTCGTTCTCCATGATGGTGCAGGTGGAGGTCTGTCCGTACGCCCGTCAGCTATAAAAAGTAACAGCTGTGTTCACATGCATGTGTAACTGCTCACTAACTACTACAACAAGGTCCTTTGACTGCAGCCTGGAAACTACTTCTGCTCTGTTACAGTATGTGTCCTGTGTTTTGCAGAAGGCTGAGCGCTCCACTGTTCCCACATTCAGAAACCTGAAGAGCAACTTTGGCCTAGTTGTTTCCAGACAGGATTATATCTGAAGTCCCCAGCTCGCATCCCGTACTTGAACGTAGGCTGGGAGCTCCACACATTTAGCATTACGTTCTAACTTTTACAATAATGAAGTTACCGTGCTCGGGCCCTAATAAAACTGTAGGGTTTTTTTTTCTTTTTTTTCTGCAAAGTAAGCTCCATTTTGGGGACCTAAACATACTCGAAAACTCAAACTTTGCACACATGTCAGGACTAAAGGAAAAAAATCGTATTTTATGGGTTTCGCACATGGGCGTGGCAAAATGACTCGCTAGCGCCACCTAGAAAATTGGAAAAGATTAGCCCCTCGTTCATGTTCAACCTACATGTACGAAATTTTCTGGGGACATGTATCATAATTATCATATTAAGACGCACAAAAAAGCCTCAAGAACCCATAGCCTAAAGTCAACAGGAAGTCAGCCATTTTTGGATGATTTACACACTTTGTACTTTAACGAACTCCTCCTAGGGATTTAGTCGGATCGACGTCAAATTTCTGCTGTGCCTTCTAAAGGCATTGACAATGAAAAGTTGTGCTATCTGCAAGTTTTCGTGGCGTCCATGATTCGCCATGAAACAGGAAGTTGTTGTAACTTCAGTGTACATGCTCACATCTGAGAGTCCCGCCCTGAACACATGTACATGCCAACATTAACTTATATTATTAGCACCAAGTGCTATGTAGCGCCACAAAGGGGACACAGGAAGTGACGTATCACACCTTCATGCAGCGTCCGCCCCGACGCGCTACACGTGCGAGAGCCCGCCCAACGCTGCTTGCAGCTTTAATTTTTATTTTGACAGGGACAGCGCACAATTAAAGTAACTTCACCATGTCCACATGCATTTAATTCTGATGCACAAAAAATAAATTACTTAGTAAATGTAGGCATTGGAACAGTGTTGCTGATACTGAGGGTGGAGGAGTTAGCAGGTAAAGTTAATCGCTGCAAGCTAACAAGCTAACTGTTAGCCTTAGCAACAAGCTACACAGTAAAGACTTCACCAGAGATCCTGTAACCATCGCTGTCTTAGCTGTGTAGTTATTAAAAAATTAACTGATCAAGCAGGGATACTTACTTGTGAGGCAGAAATGTGGCTAGCTCTGCATCGGTTTTGAATCCTTTCAGGACCCGTAGCTCTCTCCACCTCTGAGAAGCCGCTCAGAGATTTACCCTCGTTTTATGTCGTGCTTCGGTCTAATTCTTTCTTTTTAGCTAGTTTTTCTTCATCGGTCTTCTTCTGTTTACCCGTCTTTGTTTTCTGAGCAGCTGCCACTCGAGAAATTGTTTTTTCTCCGGCAATCTTGAGCTTGAACGACGGCCCGCGCTGTGCGGGGGACGGGTGCGAGCAGCGCGTACACGAGCGTGATTGACACCGCTAAGACACTCCTCCTGGCTCTGATTGGTTGTTTCTGACCGGGAGAGGAGGAGCCAGATTATCTGTCTCATATTGTCCTGTCAGTTTTAACAAATATGTAAACAATAACTTTTTACTAAGCTTTAAGAGACAGGAAGTCAGTTTCCTGTTGAACGTTTAACTTGTAAAAACTGACAGGATTCAGTTCACAGTAAATGAGGAAAACATCAAACACGCGAGGAGAAAGTTCAACCGTTACAGGAATAATCACAAGAAAATCAGGAAGCGGGGAAATTATACTCAGAAATATACAGACTTTTTTTATCAAGCAGAGAAAATGTGTTTTTGTTGTTCACAGAGTCTGTGTGGGGTTCAGTGTTTGTTAATTCATTTAATCTGCTGCTGGATCTGAAAGAATTCATATTTGAGGTTTCAGAGCTCCTCAGACTTCATGGATCGTGTCAGAAGGTCGATCAGCTGGAAGTCTGTTAACGTGACGGCTGAACTGTGAATCTCTGTGATCTCACGTTGTGTCCTGTGAGCCGAGCCGGGTCCTTCAGACCTTCTCTCAGGATTTAAAGGCGTTAAAGGCGAGAGGTCTCCCTGAGGGTGATGTCAAAACTCGGAGCTGGGTCAGGTCTGGGTACCCCAGGAAAGAGTCTGGAGGTGTTAACACCACTCGTGCATGACGTGTTTCCACCTGCAGGATATCAGCCGCTTCCTGTCGTATGGAACAACACGGCAGAGAGAGCATCACAAAATGTTTCCCACATTCAAACTAAAGTCTCAAATAAAATGTGGAAACATTCCCGGAGCGTCATTCTTATTACAAATAATCGTCTCAGGGGAAAGTAAGATCTGTTCATGAGTTCTGTTTGATCAGTTTGGAGGTCAGTATGTCATTAAAATATTATTATCTGTGAGCATGGTGAGTGCTGTAGTGGTTTCTGTTTGAGACGTGCTGCCATCTCTCAGGTCCTGTGTTCCCCCTGCTGCTGTAAAGAACACACCGTTAGATAAAAGACTGTGAAGAACAGATTCCCACTGTTGTGTTTTATCTTTATTTGACATTGTTCAGAATAACAACCCGGCGGATCCGTCATCATATCTTTACATTTCCTCCTCTCTTTCCTTTCCACTACGCCTGGCAGGATTCACCTGACTAGAGATGAAACAGAATGAAACACGATGATCAAAATGCTCACAGTTAACAGTATCATCGCAGCGTTGTTAAAATGTGCTAAATATAAACCATATCAAGTTGTATATTAATATTAAATATGTTTTCAGGTACAAAGTAAATGCAGTGACCTCAGCTCACAGAAGTTTCTCCTCTTGCACACGTTTACAACCAATTTTATGACTGCCGGACATTAAAGAGGTCGTATATTCTGCTCATGTTCAGGTTCCTCATCTTATTTAGGTGTTGTACCAGAACAGGTTTCCATGGTTATATGTTTATCAGACTGCACATTGCTGCAGCTCCTCTTTTCAGCCTGTGTTGAAGGCTTCGTTTTAGCTATGGAGTGATACATCTTGTCTCTACATGATCTTTGTTGGGAGTTGCACATGCTCAGTTCCTAGTTAAGGACTACTAGCCAATCAGAAGCAGAGAAGGGCGGGTCGGCGAGAAGCCGGTAAACGGCTCGGGTTCAGCCGTACGTGTTGCCGACCGGCTCGGCAACACGGACTGGAGCGAGAGTTTCAGAGCGGTGAGTTATTAATCTGTATCCATAAAGTTTTAACTGAGCTCTGTCTCTACATCACAGGAACAACTTTCTGTCCACTGACTGCCTGGAGGGTAGCTAGTGTTTGGAAGGGAGAGGAGAGCTGTGTGCTGCAGCTCGCTGTTTCTGAGGCCGTGTCGGAGTCGCCGCTTGGCGAGCGTTATATGAGGCGCGTTTAGCTTTCACCCCTGTGATGTCACAGGGAAGCGGCTGGACTACAAACGAGCTGTTTTCAGTTTCTGTGGGAGATGGGAACTCACTTTGGGCTTTTTCAGTTTGCAAACCTGTTACAGCACAAAAAAGGTCTAAACTCAATAAAGGAGAGGGGAAAAGCCAAAATGCAGAATATGACCTCTTTAAATGAACCAGATCTGTTGGCTGGACACTAAACTAGGACACAAAACAAAAATTATCATGACATGATTTTCCTCAATAACAAAATGTCTGATTTAATTCATTTGAATCACAGACGAATCAGCACTTCATGTTTCTATCAAGATATTAATTTTGTTGAGTTTAAGGGACTGAAAAAATACTTTACTTAATTTTATTCTCGCATATTTCCCCTATCTTAGTCTTTTTCATGGCACTCTTATGACTCCCTGTTCATTGAGTGGTCACGGAGATGGTTCAGTTGTCATGTGACCTTCAGTCGCCTTCATAGAAGTTTTATTTTAAACAGATGAAAAATAAATTTTACTCAGTTTATCAAAGGTAAAGTGTCTTAATGAAAAGAAATAAAGAACGTGTTAAACTGTCAGTGAATCAGGATTAATGTTTATTTGCTTTGGAGTTTTAAAGGTTTTACATTTACATTTTTAAATTATATTTTAAAACTTTGAGGAAAATAAAACAGGACAAAGTGGAAAATATACAAAAAACTTTATTAGAAAACATTATTTACAGTACCAGTAGTGAACAAGTAGCTGAGGCACATGACCTGAGGATGGCTGAGTCTGATTGGTCCTTTACAGTGGGGCACGGGGCGGGGCTTGGCTCCGTTTGGCAGGATGTTCCTCCTCTTTGTCTCCATCTCGTCTTCGTTTCCTCCGGGGGCCTCCTGAAGTTGACGCCGCCTCCGGCTGGGGTGGAGCATCAGCAGGAGGAGCAGCAGGAGCATCAGCGGGTGCATCAGCAGGAGGTGCAGGAGGAGGAGCAGCATGTGCATCAGCAGGAGCATCAGGCACATCAGCAGGAGGGTACATGAGTCTTTGCGCCTTCTCCAACATCTCTTGATCCTAAACACAATCACACAGTCAGCTTGTGTTTTATTAACCCTTCAACTAGCCCTATGCCCACGTGCCCTCGCCAATGTCCCCTCCCCCACGTGCCCTATGCCCACGTGCCCTCGCCAATGTCCCGTCCACCACATGCGCCCTATGCCCACGTGCCCTCGCCAATGTCCCCTCCCCCACGTGCCCTATGCCCACGTGCCCTCGCCAATGTCCCGTCCACCACATGCGCCCTATGCCCACGTGCCCTCGCCAATGTCCCGTCCACCACGTGCCCTATGCCCACGTGCCCTCGCCAATGTCCCCTCCCCCACGTGCCCTATGCCCACGTGCCCTCGCCAATGTCCCGTCCACCACATGCGCCCTATGCCCACGTGCCCTCGCCAATGTCCCCTCCCCCACGTGCCCTATGCCCACGTGCCCTCGCCAATGTCCCCTCCCCCACGTGCCCTATGCCCACGTGCCCTCGCCAATGTCCCCTCCCCCACGTGCCCTCGCCAATGTCCCCTCCACCACGTGCCCTATGCCCACGTGCCCTCGCCAATGTCCCCTCCCCCACGTGCCCTATGCCCACGTGCCCTCGCCAATGTCCCCTCCCCCACGTGCCCTCGCCAATGTCCCGTCCACCACGTGCCCTATGCCCACGTGCCCTCGCCAATGTCCCGTCCACCACGTGCCCTATGCCCACGTGCCCTCGCCAATGTCCCGTCCACCACGTGCCCTATGCCCACGTGCCCTCGCCAATGTCCCCTCCCCCACGTGCCCTATGCCCACGTGCCCTCGCCAATGTCCCGTCCACCACATGCGCCCTATGCCCACGTGCCCTCACCAATGTCCCGTCCACCACGTGCCCTATGCCCACGTGCCCTCGCCAATGTCCCCTCCCCCACGTGCCCTATGCCCACGTGCCCTCGCCAATGTCCCCTCCCCCACGTGCCCTATGCCCACGTGCCCTCGCCAATGTCCCGTCCACCACGTGCCCTATGCCCACGTGCCCTCGCCAATGTCCCATCCACCACGTGCCCTATGCCCACGTGCCCTCGCCAATGTCCCCTCCCCCACGTGCCCTATGCCCACGTGCCCTCGCCAATGTCCCGTCCACCACATGCGCCCTATGCCCACGTGCCCTCGCCAATGTCCCCTCCCCCACGTGCCCTATGCCCACGTGCCCTCGCCAATGTCCCCTCCCCCACGTGCCCTATGCCCACGTGCCCTCGCCAATGTCCCGTCCACCACGTGCCCTATGCCCACGTGCCCTCGCCAATGTCCCCTCCCCCACGTGCCCTATGCCCACGTGCCCTCGCCAATGTCCCCTCCCCCACGTGCCCTATGCCCACGTGCCTTCGCCAATGTCCCGTCCACCACATGCGCCCTATGCCCACGTGCCTTCGCCAATGTCCCGTCCCCCACGTGCCCTATGCCCACGTGCCCTCGCCAATGTCCCGTCCACCACATGCACCCTATGCCCACGTGCCCTCACCTACTGGCCTTTACCCACATGCACTCACCAATGTCCCCTCCCCCACGTGCCCTATGCCCACGTGCCCTCGCCAATGTCCCCCCCCCCACGTGCCCTCGCCAATGTCCCATCCACCACATGCGCCCTATGCCCACGTGCCCTCGCCTACTGGCCTTTACCCACATGCACTCACCAATGTCCCCTCTCCCACGTGCCCTATGCCCACGTGCCCTCGCCAATGCCCCCCCCCCCCCCCCACATGCCCTCACCAATGTCCCGTCCACCACATGCGCCCTATGCCCGCGTGCCCTCGCCTACTGGCCTTTACCCACGTGCCTTCGCCAATGTCCCGTCCACCACATGCGCCCTATGCCCACGTGCTTTTGCCTACTGGCCTTCACCCACATGCCCTCACCAATGTCCCCTCCACCCATGTGCCCTCGCCTACTTGCCTCCACCTACTGGCCTCCGCCTACTATCCTCCACCCATATGCACTCGCCAATGTCCCCTCCCCCACATGCCCTCGCCTACTGGCTTTCACCCGTTGGCCTTCGTTCATGTGCCGTCACCCCTTGGCCCTCACTCACATGCCCTCGCCTACTGGCCTCCGCCCACTGCCCTTCACCCACGTGCCCTTGACTCACGTGCCCATCACCCGCGTGCCCTCCACCTACTGGCGTCCGCCCACTGGCCTCCACCCACGTGCCCTCGCCTACTGGCCTTCACCCAAGTGCCCTTGACACGTGCCCTCTCCCAAGTGCCCTCCGTCTACGGGCCTTCGCCCACGTGACCTCCACCTAGTGGCTTTCGCTCACGTGCCCTCTCCCACATGCTCTCGCCCACTGGCCTTCACCCACGTGCCCTCCACCTACAGACCTGGACCTACAGGCCTTCATCCACATCACTTTCCTGCTGCATTGTATTTAATAGCACTGCAGTAGTACTGCATTATTGTGTATCAGGTGTAGTGTAGTCACCTGTAACCAGGGGTGCTGCAGAGCCTCCTCTATAGTCATCCTCTTACTGGGATCAACAACAAGCAGCTTCCTCACCATGTCCTTGGCTGTAAACACACACCATAGAGATTTTTAACTTCAGCTTCACAGTTCTGATCATTTCACAGTTAAACTTCCCGTTTGTACAAACATCTACAGATGTCTGCAACACTCTTTTTTATTGTATTAAGTCATGATCTCCACATTAACACCAGGACAATAACCCAGTGTGTTTCGCTGTGACCACAAAATATCACATTAATATTCAACTCTTTTAAACGTGCACACTTTCGAAAGGCACATTCTCTTTGTTGTCTCCGTTACGTTCGATCATCTATTAAAAACAGTAAATACAAAGTTTGTTTTAAATCTTATTTTTCATTTGTAGATCATATTGAATCTAATTTTTCTCCACAGTATTCCAATAGTACTTCAATAGTATTACAGCAGTACTGCAGTAGTACCTTGGTCAGAGATGTGTCTCCACTTGGAAGGAACCATGGTGAACTCGCCACGAATGATCTGTTCGGTGATGGACTGATGACCAAAGTTCTCATGAAAGGGAGGATAACCGCCCAGACTGAGAGAGACAGGAAGAGAGAGAGGGGGGGGGGTGAGCGAGCGAGCGAGAGAGCGACAGGTTAACACAACAGGGAGACTGAGGGTGAGACGGGTGTGAGGGATGAGGGAGCCTACCAGACGAAGAGCAGGACTCCGAGGCTCCAGGCGTCCACGGCGAGGCCATATCCTGTGGTGGAGGCGTTAGTGAAGACTTCAGGAGCCAAGTAAGAAGGAGTCCCACAGAGAGTCCTCATCAACATGGCCTCCTCCAAGATCCTGGACTGGTTAAAGTCCGTCACCTGAGACACACACAGAGGTGTTACTGCAGCTGTGAGGATGATGGTGATGAAGAGGAGGGTGAAGGTGTGCGCACCTTGATGAGACAGACGCTGTCCTGTGAGGCCAGCAGGATGTTCTCTGGTTTCAGGTCTCTGTGGATGATCCCGTTACTGTGGAGGTACTGCGGACACACACACAAACGGTTACGTACAGCCTACCTGTGTGTGTGCAGGTTACGGTGACTCAGGGTCTCACCTGGACGGCTCTCAGCATCTGGTAGAAGTAGAGTTTGGCGACGGACTCGTCGAGCTGCTGCTGAGACTTCACTCTTTGGAATAACTCTCCCCCTTCCATCCTGAGAGACAGAGAGAGAGTCACCTCCTGACTGTTGGCCTCGAGCGGCACGCCCAGTTTTTGTTTGTTCCAAATATGTAAAATGTAAATACAGGTCTACAGACTGGCTCCTGATTGGTTCCCACATTTCTCAAAGTTGGGAACAAACCAAGCAGGAACCTCCAGAGCCTTAAACCTGCGTCCTCTCTAACAGCCAGCAGGGGGCGACTCCACCGGCTGCAGGAAGAAACTGTTTCTACTTGTCAGCTGATTTATTCCCTCAGTAAACTCTTTCCTGATGAGTTTCTGGTCTCAGTCGCTAGTTTCAAGTCTTCTTCAACACAGCATGATGTTCATTTAGTAAATTATGGTCCCATTTAGAGGAACAGAGACCAGGAAGCAGGGGAGGCTTTAGGGCGGGGCTATAAGCTGAATGACAAGTCGCTACCATTTTAAGGCTGTTTGTTGCTAACCAAAATTAGCATCACAGCTAATATCACTTACCATGAATTACAGATGATGCAACTTGCTAACCAAGCTAGCTAGCTCCGCCCTCTCGTCCAAATATGGTCATGTCTGGTTCCAAAAACACAAAATGGTGACGCCAAAATGCCAAACTGGAGGCTTCAAAGTGTACAAAACAACGAGGGACGTCACAGCGGCTATGCCGTCTTCTTTTATACACTCTTTGTCGAGCTACACGACACATTCCCACTTCCTGTGCCGACAGGAAGTTAAGAGCACTGAAGAAACAACATGAGTTTAACTTACAGCTCCAACACGATGTAGTAACTGTCCTCCGTCTGATAGAAGTCCTCCGTCTTTATCAGGCAAGGCTGCAGGAGAGGAGACAAGGAGAGAGGAGAGGAGACAAGGAGATGAGAAAAGGAATGAGAGGAAACAAAGGGGAGGAGGGAAGAGGAGACAAGGAGAGGAAACAAGAAGAGACGAGAGGAAACAAAGGGGAGGAGGAAAGAGGAGACAAGGAGAGAGGAGAAGAGACAAGGAGATGAGAAAAGGAATGAGGAAAGGAGAGGAAACAACGGGGAGGAGGAAAGAGGAGACAAGGAGAGACGAGAGGAGACAAGGAGAGGAGAGGAAAGAAAGGGGAGGAGGGAAGAGGAGACAAGGAGAGGAGAGGAAACAAAGGGGAGGAGGGAAGAGGAGACAAGGAGAGACGAGAGGAGACAAGGAGGAGAGAAAAAGGAAGTTAGTCATTGATCATGAAGTCTGTAAAGTTGTTTCTTCTTCTGTGGTTTCAGACTCACATGGTCGACCCTCTGCAGAATCTCGATCTCTGTCTTCGCGTTCCGTGTCGCTGTCTGTGATTGGACAAAAACAAACAGATCACATGATCACCATCACCCACCTGGACGACCACCAGTGAGTCCGATAACCCTGAACCACATGTTCAGACGCCGTGTTTGTGGTCTGACTCAGTTTTTACCTTCTATCTTCTGCTACCTCCGTCACGGCAAGGAAAGAAGGAAACGAGGGAAGGAGGAAGGGACGAGAGAAGGAGAGCTCTCAGCCAATCAGAGGGCAGATGACTCACCCCTTCAGACTGAAAGTTCTTCTTCTGAATTATTTTCACAGCGAACTTCCTGCAGGTGTTACGCTCGAACGCCAGTTTGACTTCCCCGCACACTCCTCTGAAACACACACACGCACACACACACGTCGTCACACTCGTCCTTCAGGACGCAGGAAGTGACATCACAGCAATACGCAACGGTGTCACTCACGTGCCGATGCGTCTTGTCAGAAGGTATTTGTCCCGAAGCTCTTTGGGTAAGCTGGACTGGTCGTCGGACATGAGGTCTATGTAAACAAAAACTGCAGAGAGAGAGACAGGATGAGCGCTGGTGGACGCGTTACCTGTCCAGGTGTTTCTGCTGCGCGTTTGTTCTCTCACCTTTGTTTCGTGGTTCAGACAGGGCGAGCACGGCGTTGTTGACCAGAGGAAGCTTCCGGTCTTTACCGATCAGGTTCCCGTCCACAAACGTCCCGTTGTTACTGTAGTCCTCCACGAACACCTCGCTGCCCTCCTGTCAGACAGACAGGCAGAGAGACAGACAGTCAGGCAGTGAGACAGACAGACAGGCAGTCAGGCAGTGAGACAGACAGACAGGCAGTGAGACAGACAGACAGACAGTCAGACAGACAGACAGACAGACAGACAGACAGGCAGGTGGTGAGACAGACAGGCAGACAGGTAGAAACAGACAGACAGACAGACAGACAGACAGACAGGCAGGCGGTGAGACAGACAGGTAGACAGACAGACAGACAGACAGGTAGTCAGACAGACAGACAGACAGGTAGAAACAGACAGACAGACAGACAGACAGACAGACAGGCAGGCGGTGAGACAGACAGGTAGACAGACAGACAGACAGACAGAGAGTGAGACAGACAGACAGACAGACAGGTGGTGAGACAGACAGACAGACAGACAGGTGGTGAGACAGACAGACAGACAGACAGGCAGGTGGTGAGACAGACAGACAGACAGACAGGTAGAGACAGACAGACAGACAGACAGGTAGAGACAGACAGACAGACAGACAGGCAGAGAGACAGACAGACAGACAGACAGGCAGGTAGAAACAGACAGACAGACAGGTGGTGGGTCTACAGGTACAGGTCAGTAATCAGTGAAGAGTAAACAGGAAGTGATCTCACTCTGTAGATCCTGAAGTGTTTCTTGCTGTAGATTCTAAACCTTTTGGATCCTCGGTCATCCGGATCGTCCAGAACATAGTTACACTTGGAGTCCCGCCCAAACAGGTACTGGTCCTCCAAGCAGTCTGTAAACAAACAAACAACATCACATCAGAACCAGAGATCTTCTTCAGGCTCCACCCACACCGCTCCGTCCTCGCCAGAAGTTTCAGCTGCGAATCAGAACTGACCTCCGTCTGTATCAACACGCCGTTTCTAAAGTCCTCACCTGCCCACACTACCCCCGAGTTCAAAACCAAAACGGGCTCGGCAGCGTTTTCAAACTTCTCCGTGTCAGCCTGGACGGGAGGCGGAGACGCAGCAGAAGGTGTGGGAGGAGCCTGAACGTTGGGCTAGCACTGGTTACCAGTCAGCGCGAGTTCAGGACCGGGTCTTAGCGCCGCCAGGGACGGGCGAAGATCCAGCAACATGAATCTTACGGCATAAGAAACCAAATACTTTCGTTTTAGGTGTCTCACAAGAAACGACAACATACAGCAGTCGCCAAACTGCCAAGTTTATATTTAAAAAATCCCTCCACACAGCGAGCGATCCTTCCCTCTGCCTCATCATCCTCACTTCTCTCTGTGATGGTTCGTTATAAAGTCAGCCGCAGTTTAATGTCTAACACCTCGCCAACGACCGCTGAGCTGCGGCCGACCTGAACGCTGAACGATTTAACCTCGGCTGCTGAAACAAACAGGAAGTGTTAAAATAACAGTTCCTCGCCTCGACCTTTAAATTACTGAGCAGGCACCAAACAGACGCAGCGTTTTTATGATGTCATCACGTATTTTTAAACTACAAAACAAACCCGTCAAAAACAACTGACTAAATCCTACTTAGGATTTTAACTCCATGTATCAGGAACCCTGCCCCCCCCCAGGCAGCGGTCCAGTATCAGGACTAACATCAGGACAAAGGTCTAGTTTTAGTGCTCATCATAACAGCATGTTAGCAGGTTATAAAGAGGGAGGTCACCATGGCTCCTGAAGCCTCGGGCCATGGGCAGCAGGCGGCCCCAGGGTTGTGGTTCGGGCTCCTCGGGGACGGACGGCAGGGTGACGGGGATGGTGTCCACGCTGCTCAGCGTCCCTGAGCCGCTGGAAGACTGGCTGGCAGAGGTCGGCGCACTGGAAGAACTGGAACCAGGCTGGGACTGGGACTTAGACTGGGACGGGGACTGGGTGGACTGGGTGGACTGGGCCTGGGACGGGGACTGGGTGGACTGGGTGAACTGGGCCTGGGACGGGGACTGGGTGGACTCGGACTGGGGCTGCTCCCCCTCATGTGGAACCTCTTCAGACATCCTGCAGCTCTGCAGATTAGACATTAAAACATACACATTAGACCTGGACAGCTCTGCACCAAACTACCTTTACAAACTGTACAATTTTAAATAATCTTGCAGCTTTTCTCACAGTAACAAGACAGAAAACAAAAGTGAAACGTGTGTAAAAGACCTTATGGGTTTCTCTTCTATTCGGCACAAACTCAACATAAAATAATCAATAAATCTTCCAGAGGGAACTCATAATCAGAACATCTGTCTTCATTCACATCCGACGCTGTGAAGCTTTGCAGGCAGGCGAGGCAACGTTAAATTAGATGTTTTTTTAATGGAGTTCGTTGTGTGCTGAGATTTTTTTTTTTCCTCTACTAGTTTACTGTGGTGTCGGAGCTGCAGCCGAACTCTGACCCGGGACCAGAACCAGTCCGGCACCGTGCCGGGTCGCTAACCCCGCCCACCAGCTGCCAATCCAGCCGGATGAGGAGAGCCGTGTAAAACCTGATTTGAAACCAGAACCACACGAGCCGGTTTGACATCCGGCTCCACATCCGCTCCAAACCCGCCGAACTGCCTCATGTCACCGCCGTGCCGAGCCGTGCCGAGCCGGGCTCATGCACTAACGCGAGTCAGACACTCACCGGAGCGGATTCTCCTCCGGGTCTCCGCAGGTAAACAAACCGGACCGGGGCACGTGTGGGGAAAATTACCGGGCTCGTGCAGGAAACGTATTTCCTTGTTACCGTATTTTCCCTCTTGCGTCGTGTGACGATCTCGGCCAATGGGAAGTTAGAAGATCGGTCACGTGAGTTCGGAGCGGTCGGATGTGTTTCCGGGTCTGTCCTGCAGGAGAGACGCGGCCGGACGAGCGCGAGGACATGGGTACGGATGAAGCCCAATAAGTGACGACAGAGAGACCGAAGCACCTGTGTGACGTCATGTCCAACCAGAGGAGTTGTGGGAAAGCTCTGATCATCACGGACGGTGAGAGGATCCACACAGGGGGGTCTGCAGGTCTGAGGCTCTGCAGGAGAACCAGCAGCTGGACCACACGGAGGTTTCTGTGCCGCGGGTCCGGTTCTGGTTCCCTCTCAGAGCCCAGCAGATCCAGCTCAGCAGCAGAGCCAGCTATGTTTCTGATCAGCTGATCTGTGACGTCACATAATAACCCGAACTTCACCCCTCAACAGATGAGGAAGTGCAGGAGGAGGAGGAGGTGCAGGAGGAGGAGCTGAACCCCTTCTCCTTCAGAGAGTTTCTACGCTGGAAGACCCAGGATCCAGACCAGAACCAGGACCTGGACCCGGACCAGGAGCAGACTCACAGTGAGGTATGACAGCTACACAGTCTGCAGCCAAAGAAGAAGAACACGACGTTTATTATCATTGTATAAATATATAAAGTCAGAGGTCTGGACTCATCACATGTTTCTTCATTAGGCTGATAGAGGTCAGGGTTCCAGGCATCCTGGAAATCCTGGAAAACAGTTTTACAACAATTTTACAGTCATGGAAAACACCTGGAAAGTAAAATGTCCTGTGAAATTATTTTAACGTTATGTTAAATTACGTTCTGTGTCGGCAGACGCGTTCTTTAGGACTTCAGTTAACTTGTGATATTTGCACACAGATGAAGGAGGCCTGTGACCGTATCACACCTGTTTGTTGTGAAGGTTAAAGTGAGGCGTTGTGACGGAGCAGAGAGCAACAGGTCTGAAAGAGTCTGGGTTCAGGACCACAGAGGTGTTAGAAAGGTCCACCATCTGTCAGGAGGCAGAACCGTACGTTGTTATCGGATCAGTTTGTGCACCTTCCGAGCACAGAACACAGAAGAAGAAGAAAAAGTAATAACATTAAGTCAAGGTCAGATCACTGTGTCTTTGTTTCTACATGTGTAATAGATGGTTTCATAGACTGCACGTCTTTAAAATCAGACTTCAGCAGAGAGGAACGTGTTGGTGATTGACGTGATCCCTGTCTGTCATAGCAGCTGGGTCATCTCTGAAAATGGCCTGGAAAAGAGTGGGAACCCTGCAGCTGAACCAGGACGCTCGGTTACTAACCCATCTCACTATTCTGAGCATCCTGAAGAGAACTGAGAGTGAAACACTTAATTAAAAAGCTGCTTACCTACAGCCTGCCCCCCCCACCTGCCCCCAGACTCACCTGGTGGAGCTCTGCAACAAACTTAGAGCTAACGCTAACTTTATCACCTCTGTCTCTGCAGTCCAGCAGCTCTCAGCTGGTGTTTGACGTTGGGAACGTGACCTTTGACCCTGACGTCAGGAGCTGTTTCTTCTCCGAACCCTCTCTGGCACCACAGGTAGTGTGACATCATCACTGACATCATCTCAACCAATCAGACTTCATTTGTGTAATGAAAACACACGTTGTCTGACACTGTGTTAAAGTACCAGCAGCACCATGTGACCAAAACACAGCTAATAAGAGTCGAGATAAACTAAGAAAATAATATGACAATCCTGCGTCCTCTCTAGCAGCCAGCAGGGGGCGACTTAAACCTGCGTCCTCTCCAGCAGCCAGCAGGGGGCGACTTAAACCTGCGTCCTCTCCAGCAGCCAGCAGGGGGCGACTTAAACCTGCGTCCTCTCCAGCAGCCAGCAGGGGGCGACTTAAACCTGCGTCCTCTCCAGCAGCCAGCAGGGGGCGACTTAAACCTGCGTCCTCTCTAGCAGCCAGCAGGGGGCGACTTAAACCTGCGTCCTCTCCAGCAGCCAGCAGGGGGCGACTTAAACCTGCGTCCTCTCCAGCAGCCAGCAGGGGGCGACTTAAACCTGCATCCTCTCTAACAGCCAGCAGGGGGCGACTTAAACCTGCGTCCTCTCCAGCAGCCAGCAGGGGGCGACTTAAACCTGCATCCTCTCTAACAGCCAGCAGGGGGCGACTTAAACCTGCGTCCTCTCTAGCAGCCAGCAGGGGGCGACTTAAACCTGCGTCCTCTCCAGCAGCCAGCAGGGGGCGACTTAAACCTGCGTCCTCTCTAGCAGCCAGCAGGGGGCGACTTAAACCTGCGTCCTCTCTAGCAGCCAGCAGGGGGCGACTTAAACCTGCGTCCTCTCTAGCAGCCAGCAGGGGGCGACTTAAACCTGCGTCCTCTCTAGCAGCCAGCAGGGGGCGACTTAAACCTGCGTCCTCTCCAGCAGCCAGCAGGGGGCGACTTAAACCTGCGTCCTCTCTAACAGCCAGCAGGGGGCGACTTAAACCTGCGTCCTCTCCAGCAGCCAGCAGGGGGCGACTTAAACCTGCGTCCTCTCCAGCAGCCAGCAGGGGGCGACTTAAACCTGCGTCCTCTCTAACAGCCAACAGGGGGCGACTTAAACCTGCGTCCTCTCCAGCAGCCAGCAGGGGGCGACTTAAACCTGCGTCCTCTCTAACAGCCAGCAGGGGGCGACTTAAACCTGCGTCCTCTCTAGCAGCCAGCAGGGGGCGACTTAAACCTGCGTCCTCTCCAGCAGCCAGCAGGGGGCGACTTAAACCTGCGTCCTCTCCAGCAGCCAGCAGGGGGCAACTTAAACCTGCGTCCTCTCTAACAGCCAGCAGGGGGCGACTTAAACCTGCGTCCTCTCTAGCAGCCAGCAGGGGGCGACTTAAACCTGCGTCCTCTCTAGCAGCCAGCAGGGGGCGACTTAAACCTGCGTCCTCTCTAACAGCCAGCAGGGGGCGACTTAAACCTGCGTCCTCTCCAGCGGCCAGCAGGGGGCGACTTAAACCTGCGTCCTCTCTAGCGGCCAGCAGGGGGCGACTTAAACCTGCATCCTCTCTAACAGCCAGCAGGGGGCGACTTAAACCTGCGTCCTCTCCAGCAGCCAGCAGGGGGCGACTTAAACCTGCGTCCTCTCCAGCAGCCAGCAGGGGGCGCCTTAAACCTGCGTCCTCTCCAGCAGCCAGCAGGGGGCGACTTAAACCTGCGTCCTCTCCAGCAGCCAGCAGGGGGCGACTTAAACCTGCATCCTCTCTAACAGCCAGCAGGGGGCGACTTAAACCTGCGTCCTCTCCAGCAGCCAGCAGGGGGCGACTTAAACCTGCGTCCTCTCCAGCAGCCAGCAGGGGGCGCCTTAAACCTGCGTCCTCTCCAGCAGCCAGCAGGGGGCGACTTAAACCTGCGTCCTCTCCAGCAGCCAGCAGGGGGCGACTTAAACCTGCGTCCTCTCTAACAGCCAGCAGGGGGCGACTTAAACCTGCGTCCTCTCTAGCAGCCAGCAGGGGGCGACTTAAACCTGCGTCCTCTCTAGCAGCCAGCAGGGGGCGACTTAAACCTGCGTCCTCTCTAACAGCCAGCAGGGGGCGACTCAAACCTGCGTCCTCTCTAACAGCCAGCAGGGGGCGACTTAAACCTGCGTCCTCTCTAACAGCCAGCAGGGGGCGACTTAAACCTGCGTCCTCTCTAACAGCCAGCAGGGGGCGACTCCAGCGGCTGCAGAAAGAAAATGTTTCTACTTGTCAGCTGATTTATTCCCTCAGTAAACACTTTCCTGATGAGTTTATGGTCTGATCAGCCTGATGTTCATTTAGTAAATTATGGTCCCATTTAGAGGAACAGAGACCAGGAAGCAGGGGAGGCTTTAGGGCGGGGCTACAAGCTGATTGACAAGTCGCTACGATGGCGAGAGCAGCTGAAACTATTTTAATAAACATCACAGATCAGATCTCTGTCCATGATGATGTCATGGTGCAGTCAGGTACAGGTGTGTTGAGATGATGATTCTCAAACTGTGTGTCCAATCAGGAGGAGGACGAGTGGGGGAGGAGCTTCCAGTCAGGTGTGGGCAGCACCTCCTCCCTTTGCACAGAGGAAGAGGAGGAGACCAGGTGAGTCTGCTGCTCACAGATTGGTTGATTTTTTCCTTCTAGCTTACAGTTCAGGTCATCTTTACATATTCCTGATCTCCTCCACATATGCAGACGACATTCAGCTTTATAATCATGTGATGAAACCACAGTCAGGGTGCAGTTTATTAGGAACACCTGTGTTGATCACAGCTGCCTGTAACTGGGAACAGGTTCTCCTCCAAACCTGAAGTCCAGCAGGGAGGAGGAGCAGCAGGAGAGAACTATGAAGGAGATGATGAGACCTCCATCGCTGAACCGGTCACCTCCTGCAGGAGGAGGAGCGGGAGGAGCAGCCAGATGCAACAGGTAAAGAAAGTACACGGTTTCTCTCTTTCTGATTTTCATTTTATTACATGTCATGAAGATTTTACTGGACAATGATGCAAACACCTTAATCTACATGTCTGTAAACATGTCACCTGGTTGATTTTCAGCTGCAGGCAGTCGGTGTGTAGTTCAGGGAACCTGGGAGAACAGAGAACACTGAAACCCTTAAAGGGTAAAGGGAAGAGGTTAAAATTGGTAGGATAAAGGGGAGCAGGAGGGGCAGGCCAGGAAATGCCAGCCATGAATCTCCCTGAGACCCACCACGTTTTAAAAAATATATAAGGTATAATATATAGGAGGTGGTGATGGCGCATAGATAAGATGCTTGCCTTTGGTGTGGGAGACCCGGGTTTGATCTCCTCTGTGAGACATCCACCATTGTGTCCCTGAGCAAGACACTTAACCCCTCGTTGCTCCAGAGGCGTGCGACCTCTGACATGTATAGCAATTGTAAGTCGCTTTGGATAAAAGCGTCAGTAAATGAATAAATGTAAATATAAAATAGAACTAAATTGTTTTTTAAATTGTTTTAGACAAGACATTCTTTCAAGGTGGTGATTATTAGAGACGTATGAGAAATAAATAAAGCTGGGGTCAGTGCAGGAGCAGGTATGTAGTGAAGATGTCAGGTGATGGTGAACAAAAGCTTTATGTCCTGAACACACGTGTCTCAGTTGAAGGAGGAGAACGTGTTGCTGAGGAGAACCATCAGGGAGCTGCAGAAGAACTCAGAGGTCAGCGAACGCAGGTGAGAACCGGCCAATCACACGATGGCACCGACTTCACCAGTCAGAGCATTTACCCATCATGCCTCTGTGTCTGCGTCCTCCCCGTCAGGGTGCTAGAGCTGTCGGAGGAGCTGCTCCAGAGGAGGCGTCAGGAGGAGAGGGAGGCTCAGGATTTGGAGAACATGGTTCACTCTGTGGAGCAGAACCTCCACCTGATGACGGTACGTTTCCCCGAGCGGCCCGGAACTCAGGATCACCTGTTCAACAGCCTTCAGCTCAGTCTTCAGTCTCTCTCTCTCTTCCCGTTGCAGAAGCGAGCAGTGAAAGCAGAGAACAGTGTTTCCAAACTGAAGGTGGAGCTGCAGCAGCTGCAGGTGAGAGAGACAGATTTGTATTAACTTTATTTAAACAGGTAATCTGACAGAGAAAGTGAAAGTTTCCTAACCTCTTGTCCTCGACCTCACTGATGTCATGAGGAAAGATGTGAAGGTGAATTCAGAAAGACTCCGACTGCTCTTACTCTACGGCCACCTAATCATGTGTCGGGGGATGTTACTGACCTGCATTCATTGTTAATGGCTCTGTTAAAAATGTCCCTGTGAACCCAAAACACCTTTAGCTCTGTTTAAATGTGTACAGGTGTGTGTCTCTGTGTGTCTCAGGTGGAGGTCGACTCTCTGCGGTCGGAGAACGCCAGTCTGAAGGCAGCGGAGTCTGAAGTCGTTATGACGATGAAACACAACGCTCAGATGGCGTCTGAGTACCTGAACAAGACAGCAAGCCACGCCCACTCCTCCATACGGTCAGTACCTGAGTGATATGGGTGACTTTGTGTGTGAACGGGTGACTCTGTGTGAACGGGTGACTCTGTGTGTCAACGGGTGACTCTGTGTGTCAACGGGTGACAGTGTGTGAACGAGTGACAGTGTGTGAACGGGTGACTCTGTGTGAACATGTGACTGTGTGTGTGTGTGAACATGTGACTGTGTGTGTGTGAACATGTGACTGTGTGTGAACATGTGACTGTGTGTGTGAACATGTGACTGTGTGTGTGAACGAGTGACTGTGTGTGTGTGAACGTGTGACTGTGTGTGTGAACATGTGACTGTGTGTGTGTGAACGAGTGACTCTGTGTGTCAACGGGTGACTCTGTGTCAACGGGTGACAGTGTGTGAACGAGTGACAGTGTGTGAACGGGTGACAGTGTGTGAACGGGTGACTCTGTGTGAACATGTGACTGTGTGTGTGTGAACATGTGACTGGTGTGTGTGAACATGTGACTGGTGTGTGTGAACGAGTGACAGTGTGTGAACATGTGACTGTGTGTGTGTGTGTGTGTGTGTGAACATGTGACTGTGTGTGTGAACGGGTGACTCTGTGTGAACGAGTGACAGTGTGGGAACGGGTGACTCTGTGTGAACATGTGACTGTGTGTGTGTGTGAACAGTGACAGTGTGTGTGTGTGTGAACGAGTGACAGTGTGTGAACATGTGACTGTGTGTGTGTGTGTGTGTGTGAACATGTGACTGTGTGTGTGAACATGTGACTGTGTGTGTGAACATGTGACTGTGTGTGTCAACGGGTGACAGTGTGTGAACGAGTGACAGTGTGTCA